ATACCTAACTGTACTGTATATTACACTGTAAAAGTCAACCTTGTTACTCAAGATATTTTCATCTTTTTTGTTATTATTTATATGAATAAGGTAAAGTGGATGTTTGTGCTGTAGCTGGTCCCATGTGGTCTCTCAAATATTATGAGGTAATAAAAGAATGAGCAAAATACTGCTGAAAATATTTTGAAAAGGAGACACCATGACACAAAATCTTGAGATGTCACAATACAATTTATCAACTCATTTGATCAGTCTGATACAGTCTCATAGAAATCTACTTTCACGATCAGCTTTGATAGAAAAAGCACCCATTACACAGACAGAACAGTCCATCTGTCAAATAACTGTGGAAATGTACCTTCATTCTAGATCATTTCCTGTAACGGTGACATTTTTATTTTTCTCATTCATCTTATCTCTCTAAACCAATGAAATTGTGCGTCTGCACACCACATACTTTCTGTTCTCCTCAGTCATTTCCTCTAAACCACGTGCGTGTGTCCTCTTTCTGCGCGGCTGCTCATTAAGAAACCTTTTTCCAGTGAAAAAGCTGTCATCAGTACAGTTGGTCTACATTGGTTTCCTGGCTGTGTTCCTCAGGTTCTGATAGGCCGCAGATTTGAGGAACCTTGGGCAAGAGTCTTTCTCCATCAGTCTGTATATATGCATCTCAGCTTCATCAAAACAAGTGAGGTCGGGCTTCACCAAAGATCTCTTGATCTTCTCTCGAGTGTGATGGTCGATGTTGACCTGTGAAAATCACGTAACATTCAGATCTATGAAAGATAAAAGTATATTTCTATAACTCATTTAAATGGTGTTTGTTAAGCAAATATAGCAGACGCAAAAACTCAGTTTTGTTTTTCTGTTGAACCATTATTAATGCATTTTAGATTTTGTGTCAATTAATTTGCAACATGTATTTTGTTTTAGAAGAATTCTGGTGCCTTGCTCCTTGATCTTTTCAGTTACCATCCCAAATATTCAACTTCCATTGCACCTATTGATAATCTTTACTATGATGCAACTGCATTTCAGTCGTAATGCACTGTAACTATCATTTTAATGCTTTAATAAGTGCACATACTGACCTCTTTTTGAGCCATGGGATGGAGAAACTCTTTGTAAATATCTCTTGCCTTGTTAGAGAGTCTGCCAGATGAAGTCATTCGCTTATATTCCCTGCAGGCAAGCCAAAATTCAATGTTCTCCGCACTAAACTCAGACTGGAGAAATGAATGAAAGGCAGCCAGGTAATCTGTTTGGAGAAGAGTGTTAAAAATAAATAAATTATAAACTTCGTTTTCATAGTGAGGCCAAGAACCATTTTGGGTTCCCTTAAGGACCTTTCAGTCAACAGTTTTTTAGAGACCCATTTATTCTTGGAGTAAAGAACATTTTAATAATATAAGGTTTGTTTGTTCACACTTGGCAGGTTCAGTTGAAATGAAACAAACTTCTCACAAAATATACGTCCTTAAAGGAGTAGTTGACTTTTCAAAAAACTTTTGCTGATAATTTACTCACCCCACGTCATCCAAGATATATAAAGGTTTTAATGAAAATAAATAAAGGTTTTTGATGAAAATATTCAAGGATTTTCTCCATATAATGGACTTCATTGGGAACCAAACGGTTCAAGGTCCAAATGAGTTTCAGTGCAGCTTCAAATGGTTTTAAATGACACCAGACAATGAATAAGGGTCTTATCTAGCGAAACAATCGGCCATTTCGAAAATAAATAAAACTCGTACGTTTACATTTTATAAATGCGCGTCTTGCTCTGTTCTGTGATGAGCGTTCGTGACTCTCCTGTTCAAACTCAAAATTAACAAATCTTTTTTTTGATTTGTTCGTCTGGTGTCGTTTAAAGCCCTTTAAAGCTGCACTGAAACTCTCATTTGACATTGAACCGTTTGGTTCTCAAGTCCATTATATGGAGACAATCCTGGAATTTTTTCATCAAAAACCTTACTTTCTTTTCGACTGTAGAAAGAAAGACATGGACATCTTGGAAGACATGGGGGTGAGTAAATTATCAGCAAAAGTTTTTTTAAAAGTGAACTACTCCTTTAAAGCGTTGTTGTTGTCGTTGTATCTTTAGCTTCAGACTTAAAATGACTGTGTGAACACTATGAGCAGGAAAGCTGGATCAAAAGACCCAAGAGATGCAAACTACACACCCTAAAAAACAAAAAGTGTGAACACACCCTAAAAAACCTTTTTCCACTATAAAGAACCTTTAGTGTCAGGCAAAGATTTCATGGAGCCATTAATAAAGAACTGTGTGTTGAAGAGGGGTTGGACTAACCTCCATTTTCTAGAAGATCAGCTAGCTTTGGTCCATGTGTCAAACAGTCCTGTCTTAAAAAGATAAAGAAATTAGAACCTAAAATAAAATATTCCTGCCATCCATAGTGATAAAAAACACTTTTAAATACATTTGACACGTTAAATGACCTGTGTTGCGACACGCTATATATTTACCCAAATTTTTCTTATTTTATGAAGACTACATGGACATTTGTATTGTTTGAACTAAAGTTTCTGAATAAAAATAAAAATTTCACACTGAAAACACATGATCTATAAAGGCAACAACACTTTCTCCTATAGTATAGCCTACATTTATAAGGTTTACCAAAAAATGTACTTATGCCACTGATGAAGTGATACACATATGCATATAAAAATAAACTTACTGATAATGAGAGACTTCAGTCTTTTTCTGAACCAAAACACATCTGATATTGTTTTTCTGCTTTTTTCTGCTCAACAGGACGTCCAGTCTATGGGATGAAAAAAGTAAGCACTTTTGTATCCATGAAGCATATCAGTCGATTAAGAAGCTTACTATAGGCTATGCGGAGAGATAAGTAAAATTAGTTACGTCATCGGTTGTTTCTTATTCCGAATAAGATCCTTGAACTCGTAGATCCGAACCTTCGAGAAAAGTAGTTTAGGCATCATGAGGTGGCGGGAAATATTTATTCAGAATGATCTGTGTTTCATGTTTTTGACACACTTTTCCCATCTATATACGGTCGCCAGGCTGATAGAGTGGGGTGTTTTCATACCTGGACATGTTCACACAAATCTCTGGATGCCATTAACCCTACGAATCTTCTGCCGGTTATCCATGACTCATAAATATCACAATATTAGGTCTGTTTCATGTTTACTCTTGAATTGGAAACGCATTTTGATCATTTTCTTGTTTCTATGACAGCATGGCATTTGAAGATTATGTAGCCCTATAAAAAATAATGTGATAAGGAAGAACTCTGGTCGCCCACAACGCAACAGTCGAAAAGCTTGTCTAAATCTTTTTTAGATGAACGTTCTTCGAGTTTCTTCTGACTAAAAGTTGACTTGTAAAATATCTAGTATTTTATGTAGGAGAGTCATTGTTTGTTCTAATGTTTCAAACATGTGAACCGGGTCACATCCTGCTAATGTTGTAATAAAAATCTTCAGGGGTTTGCGATTCATTGGTGTACACCTAATCAACAAACACTTTCTTTGAGTTTCATAATCACATCAAACGTCAATGTTGGGCTCATTGAGGCGTATCGTTGGTCATGTGGGAGTGGTAAGAATGTGATGACAGTGCTTGGAACATGATTGCTGGGTAAGCTAAACTAACTATACCACATGCACTCTTCACTTTAAGTCATGCTTTCCCCCAGAACATTAAACAAGCAAATAAATAAATAATAAAAAAGGTTGATTGTGTGCATATTTGCTAATTACATGCAGTGTGATGGCTATCCTCATCTAAAACTTAAAATTAAAAATAATAATTATAATAAATTAAAAATAACTTATTTATTTGTTGAGGAAAGGCTGTTATATTATTGTTGTTGCTATATGTTAGCATAAGACTATTTTGCCCTATAACTTCTCCTCTGTAATGTTTAACCACCAGGTGGCATACATAGCAAAGAAAACACTCTCAAGGCACAGAAACATTTTATTTGGTCTGACAGATAACATTTTCCAAACACCTACCAAGGGTGTGTCCATATCAGTTTTGTGAATGCAAAGCATTGGAATGTAAAGATTGCAGAAAGGAAAACTTAAACAAGAACAATCGACCCATTGTAAATGACTGCATACATGAATGCTTACAAAACGATTACACGTTTATGGTCATGCTTAGCTTTTAGTATGTCATAAAATCAAGTCTTATTATATATCGGTGTACACATACATAATTCTTTCTGACACCATTTTGAAAACCATGAGATTAATTTTCATTGAATCCTGGTAACACACAGTCTCATCCCAAGTCATTATATAACTGACGTCTTGGGACGTCTTTTGACCATACGTCAACATCTGCCTTTTTAGGGTACTCTTAAACGTCGATTAGTTGACGATCCCGGGCCGTCATACAACTGACGCTTTATCTTTAACGTCAGTTAGGTGACGGGGTAGGTTTAGGTCTGGGGTAGGATTAAGATCCGATAACGTCATCTAACCGACGTTTAAGGGTACCCTAAAAAGGCGGATGTTGGCGTATGGTCAAAAGACGCCCCAAGACGTCAGTTATATGACGTCTTGGGATGAGACTGCGCTGATTCTGGAAACAAATGCATTCAGCTTTTCACATCAAATGTTGTGCTGAACATAATTTATAATGAAACTTGTATAAAATGTAAAAAATGCAAGATAGAAGCTTGATAGACTTTTGTATTCCTCATAAACATGTGTATAGTGGAATTAGTATGCATAATATTGTGAACACGCAACTTAAAGGGATACTCCACCTTTTCTTGGGAAATAGGCTCATTTTACAACTCCCCCAGAGTTAAACAGTTGAGTTTTACCATTTTCGAATACATTCAGCCGATTTTCTGATATTTAGAAGAATGTCAGTAACCAGACAGTTTCTGGTCTCATTGACTTTCATAGTAGGAAAAAGATATACTATGGAAATCAATGAGACCAGAAACTGTCTGGTTACTGATATTCTTCTAAATATCAATTCGGTAAAACAGTAAAACCCAACTGTTTAACTCTGGGGAAGTTGTAAAAATCTCCAAAAAAAAGTGCGTATCCCTTTAACTTTAAGTTTCCTCTAGAGTTTGACTTTGAAGCTTCGTACTCTTCTAGCCATTATTCTCTGATTGCCTCCCATAGTGACTTTCTGTAACATCCACATCACCTTATGAAGCCGATATAAAGCATACCAGGTGGCCGCAATCAGTACTACCCCTGTGACCAAGAGAACAATGTACAAAGCCGTCATGAAACCACTAAATGGACCGGTCGACGGGACAGTCCACAGGTACACCCAACCACCGTAATGATTGTTGTGAACAATGTCAGGTCCGTTTTCCAAAACAATCTTTTCGTAGAACGCCAGATCATTGTTGTACTCGTTCCCTTGTTTTATGTAAATAGGAGAAAGCAAAAGGCTGTTGTAAAAGCGAGAGGCTGTTGTTGCAAAAGTGCTTGTAATTGAAGGCGTAGTTGAAGTCGCTGTAGGTCTTGCTTTTGTGCTTGTAGCCGTAGACGATTGTGGGGTTGATGTTGCAGGAACCTGTCTGGGAATGATGCTTGTAGTCATAATTGTCTGGAAAAGAACCTGACCACATTTGAGCTCTGCATGGGTCAATGTTTGCAGCGAATGGTTTTGTAAGTGGTACGGTTCATAGCATGCTACTCCTTTCTCCGAGGCATTGATTAGCCTTGGGTTGTCGCGAATCCATTCTGCAATACCTATAATGTTACAATCACACTTCCATTTGTTTCCGCCAAGAGAGAGAACATTCAGCGCCTTTGTGTGTGTGAAAACATCTCCGGGCAGATACTTTAGATGGTTGCGGCTCAAGTCCAGTATTTCTAGTCTTGAAGTATTGCAAAAGATTGTTGCTGGGAGAGACTCAAGCTTGTTATCATTAAGCATCAGAATCTGAAGACTAGTCAAATTCGAGAAGAGGTCCGGCTCCAGCGCCCGAAGGTTGTTGTGTTTCAGGGACAGTTTATTCAGATTGGGCAGGCAACAGAAGAGGTCCTTTGGTAGGAGGTTCAACTTGTCATTCAAGTGTAAATTGAGAAAACGTAGGTTTGTCATGTTAGCAAAAAGGTTCCAAGGGACAGTGACAAGACTAGTATTGTAAAGGTACAATTCTACGAGCCGCGGCATGTTGCCCATCAGCTGGTCAGGTAGGGAGATCAAGGGGTTCTTGAAGAGGGTGAGCATGGTCAGGTTGGGTAAGTAGTAGAAACTCTCGGCTGGAATATACTGGAGTTGGTTGCCTGACATCGAAAGGTTGAGCAGGGATGGCAAGTGCCAGAAAAGACGCGGAGGAATCTCTCGGATCTGGTTCTTGTGAAGCAATAAAAAACACAGCTTGCTTAGATGATCAAATGCACCACTTTCCAGAGTCACCAACTTGTTGGACGAGAGTACCAGAGATTGGAGTTGACGTAGGTTGTGAAAAAGCGTCTTTGGGAGGTTCCTCAGTTGGTTACCAGCTAAGTTTAGGTAAATCAGCTTAGTCAAGTTCTGGAAGACGCCGGCGTCCAGCTGGGAGATGCGGTTTTTGCTCAAATCCAGCTCTGTTAGGTTGACCAACCCCTCGAAGAGTTCTGAACTAATGGAAACTATTTGGTTATCATCTAGCTGCAGTTGCTCCAAGTTGCTCTGCTCACTAAACACCTTGGGTGGGAAGATCGAGAGTGCGTTTGATGACAATTTGATTGACCGAAACTGTGGAGCACCATAGAAGGCTTCTGGTTGAATTGTGTCTATAGCGCTATGGGTGATCATTAGTCGAAGCAGAAGAGAGAACGACTGAAAACTTCGGGCTTTGAGGACCTTTATGTTTGTGTCTTTTAGCAAGAGTAGAAAAGTTGTTTTCGGGTCGAGAGGGGGGATGTCGCTGATGTCTCCACTGCATTTTGCAGCACCCTTAACATTACAAACGCACACACTGGGACAGTGAACGCAGAGGGTGAGCTGAGGCAGAAGCGGAAGTAGAATAAACGTGACCCACATACTCTCAAACTGGGGAATAAATATAGGTACATGTTAGTAATAGCATGTGTCTTCATTAAACAGTTGACCAATAATTATTTTACGGAAAAATAAATATACTTCACTCGTGATTAAAAAGGTTATTCTGATATTCCCTCCCAAAAGACCGACCATGCTTTAAAGGTATAGTTCACCCAAACATTTTAATTGAATCCATTCAATGGAGGTCAATGGGATCCAAAACAACTTTGGAACTGAAGAAAGAAATTCATACAGGTTTGGAATGACAGGACATATGTTTTTGGGTGAACTATTCTTTATGTTACCAAAACAAATGAATTAGCAATGTTGAACTTACCTCTCGCAAGTATATTGAAGACTTGACTGGATGAAATGGATGCGTTCATGCTTTTAATAACCATAATTTGGAAATAGCTCTTTCCTTTCTACACATATCTTGCTCTGCAGTGCAGCCCACATGGAAGACTGCATCCGTCCTGATGAGGGTTTATCAGATTTGCAGTTGAATGCCCGTAAAATTACTTAAATGTGCAGCGTTTCATCATGTGCACTTGTAGAGGACTTTGTCTTCCAATGTATACGTTTGTTGTTAAGGTTTTTAAGAAATCTTTAATAATGCAGTTTGGGACAATATAGGAGGTGTCCCTATTGAAAATGTACTGTCTTTTTCTTTTTGAAAGTTAGTTTGATTTAGAATTTCCTTAAAGAGTGTTTCTAATTCAATTATTTATGGACATTATTTTATGTCAGTAATCCTCTCTCTTCATATGTTCATATGTGTTGATATGTGTCACATTTTGGTTGTTGAACACATGTTAAACAACAACTCAACACTAGAGGGAGGCAAGAGCTCATATCAGAACAAATATTCACTCATGCGTTTAATAATGAACTCAAAGATCGATAAAGAATGAGATAAAAGGGTAACATCAATCAACTTATTTTTTTATTGATATAGCATTTACATAAATACATTTTTGTTTTAAGAGTACAGTCATGAGTACATTATTAAATGAATATCATGATTATCATGACACATTATGAATACATATATAATTACATATCTAAAAATGTTATACTTGTTTGATACATTATTAAGGCTTCAGATTATTTGCAGATTTTCTTGCTCCTGGCTCTTCACTTTGAGACCCTCAAACACAGTATTTCCAGAAACAGGCTTAAAAATAAAATAGAAAAGTTAAGCATTTACATTTATGCATTTGATAGACACTTTTAGCCACTGCATTGAAGATATATATTTTTTTGTGCTCATAAAAAAGTAACACTCACCATCATCTCTTTTGCTGGTCATCGATCTATCTTTTTCTATTGCATCTGACACCAATTTTCTTTCTAGCTGCAGTTCCTCTCGAAGGACTGCAAGCTGAAACGAGAATTTCTGACAATTAGCTTTCATAATATTTTTTTTTATTATTCATAAATTTCGTCCTCTGTAGATTACTTGTATTTTTTTTCAGTAATGGACTATAATTTCTATGTTGAAAATTGTATTAGTAACGTAATCTACGTATTACATTACACATTTTGGGTAATATATTTAGACTACTTTTAGATTAATTTTAGATTACTTTTGATACAATAATTTTGTACTATAGTGATATAACAATGCATTTGTATATTAAAGAGACAGTTCACCCAAAAATGAAACTTCTGTGATAATTTACTCACCCTCAAGTATGAATTTCTTTGTTCTGCTGAACAGGTTTGGAACAACAATAGAGTAAACAATGACAGAATTATCATTTTTGGGTGAACTATCCCTTTAAAATAAACTTTTTCCCATATGAGCAAAATTAAACATACCTCCTGCAGCTCTGTGATTTTTCTGGCCAGCTCAAGTCCTGTTATTTATCAAAAACATGTAAGTAAGTGCTGGTTTGTATATTATAAGATGCTTAAAATTAATTTTCAATATGTCGACATATTCAAATAATCCCGTTAATTTACCTAGTACGTCGTTTTCTTGGACAGGCATGATGTTTTTCCGTAGTAAAAATGCCAAAATCTGATTCTGGATGTCAGAATCGTCCTTTGAATGGAAAACCTGGTTTTCTGTAAAATTGGAAATATGCAGTTTAGCTTATAATCAGCCAATCAAGAACTTAGATGGTAATAAAAATAAACTCACCTGGATTTGCAAGGCTTCTTGTGTGAACGTTGAGAGCACCAATCAGAAGTAAAAAAGCAAGATGTGTAAGAGGAGAGACTGAGGATTTTCTGTCCATGGCACTGAGTATTGGGTATTTGCTCCTATACCTGACCGAACGCTCGACTGCTGGATGCTCGTCAGATGGGATACTTTTAATCAGGCGTGAAGACGTGAGAATGTGTCATTGCTGTAAATCAAAGGTGTAAGGGTGTACGGTGTGTCAGGGCTATATCTAAAGAGGGTCCGTGACAGCTAGGACTGATGTTCTGATGTGGTCTCAGGGCCAACTAGCAATCAATCAAAGGCGGTGTGAGGACAACAGTAAATCACCAGCGCTACGGGGTCTCATTCATCTGTGGATGGTAAAAACGTTCTTGGCATTCTTCTTTCAATTTTACTAAAAGTAAGTGTAAGTCAGTGACTAGAATAACAAAAATGATGGTACAGTATAATTTGTATGATATAACACGTCTTTCTTCAAATTTGATGGCTTTTCCTATATGATAGAAATTTTAATTACACTAAGACTTAAAACATTGACATCCATAAACATCAATTTCAAAATTAACATGATAGGTTGCCACCTGTGCAATAAGTCCATTCGTGAACTTTCCTCACTACTACGGCCAACTGTTAGTGGTATTATTAACAAAGTAGAAGCAATTGGGAACAGCAGCAACTCAGCCAAGTGGTAGGCCACATAAAATCCCGCCCGTTCTCATCCTTTAGCGTCACATAGAACGCTTTATGACAAAACGGCGCTATACTACGCACATGGCACGCTTTATCGTTAATATAACATGCGAACCCAAGACGTCATAAATCCTTTAGCGTAATATGAGACTACCCTACCCCACACCTAAACTTAGCCCTCACAGCGCGTGTTATATTAACGATAACGGGTGCCATGTGCGTAGTATAGCGCCGTTTTGTCATATAGCGTTCTATATGACGCTAAAGGATGAGAATGCGTTGTAAAATCACAGAGCGGGTCAGCGCATCCTGAGTCGACAGAGCGCAGAAGTCTCCAACTTTCTGCAGAGTCAACAGCTACAGACCTCCAAACATGTGTGGCCTTAAAGAGTTAGTTCACCCAAAAATGAAAATTAAGTCATTAATTACTCACCCCCATGCTGTACCAACCCCGTAAGACCTTCGTTCGTCTTCGGAACACAAATGAAGATATTTTTGATTAAATTTGAGAGCTGTATAACTACCACATTGGCTCCTAAGGGACTGCCTCTTGACGGCCCAGAAAGTCAATGAAGAAAATGTTTAAATATCCCAAGTGACTACCGTGGCTCAACTATATGTTTATCAAGCGACGCGAATACTTTTTGTGCGAAAAAACAAACAAAAATAACGAGTTTATTCGACTATTTCTTTTCTTCCTTGTAGGCCAGAAACGACACTTCCTTAGATTTCCACGACGCATGCGCGAGAATTGCGATCTGAAGTAGTGTAAGCAGATCGCAAATCTCACGCATGCGTCGTGGAAATCGTAGTCACTTGGGATATTTAAACATTTTCTTCATTGACTTTCTGGGCCGTCAAGAGGCAGTCCCTTAGGGGCCAATGTGGTAGTTATACAGCTCTCAAATTTAATCAAAAATATCTTCATTTGTGTTCCGAAGACGAACGAAGGTCTTACGGGGTTGGTACAGCATGGGGGTGAGTAATTAATGACTTAAAGGATTAGTTCACTTTTGAAAAAACTTTTGCTGATAATTTACTCACCCCCATGTCATCCAAGATGTCCATGTGTAAGTGAACTAATCCTTTAATTTTCATTTTTGGATGAACTAACCCTTTAAGCTTAGCTCAAGAACTAAGAAAAGTGTGTAGAGATCTTCATGGAATGGGTTTCTGTGGCTGAGCAGCTGCATCCTCCAAGCCCAACATCACCAAGTGGGATGCAGTGGTGGAAGGCATGCCGTCACTGGACATAGAGCAGTGGAGACGTGTTCTCTGGAGTGATGAATCACACTGTCTGTGCGATCTGATGGAAAAGTCTGGGTTTGGCGGTTGCCAGGAGAACGGTACTTGCCTCACTGCATTGTGCCAGAGAATGTCTAATTGAAGAGAATTGGCACTGGCTGGTTACTTCCGGGTTCTGGACTGGCTGCAGTAAGCCGTCTCTGTCCATGCGGGGGCGCTCGCGGTCGAGTGCAGAATGAATGGGAGTCAATGGGGTTTCACCCCCAGAAATCCACTTTTCTCAGGATGTAATTTTTTGTCGAATAATTTGAAAGTTGCATTCAAAAGGGAGGGCTAAGAAAATACGTAAATAAAACTAAATTCCATTTTTCTCGGTTTAATGAAAACTGATAGGTCGTTATGGTAGAGGCGAATAAACATCTGGATATCTATCCACTGGAGCTTGTTAACGCAAACGTGTAAGTTTCACGTTTGAGGGGGTTGAACCGTGACATTTACACATTTTCCAAAGTGGACTATTTAGGCTGCTTCATTAAAAACGTGACATTTAGACGTTTTTTTCTGCGTGAATCGAGGCAAATGAATCCTTTTCACCTTGAAAATAATAAATGTTTTTTGCATTTTAAATAATAGACCATTTCTCAGTGATCATCAATAAAACTAAATTCCATTTTTCTCGGTTTAATGAAAACCAATAGGTCGTGATGGTAAGTTTCAGTTTAAGTGTAAGTTTCACGTTTGAGGGGGTTTAAACCGTGACATCTACACGTTTTCAAAAGTGGACCAACGTGATTATTTCACGTCTTGTCGTGATACCGGGTTGAAGAAATGTTGTTTTGGCCACTTTGATATAATCACAACAATTTAACGTCAGCAAGAATGGGATTTGAACTCAGATCTTCTTGATTAAAGCCCAACGCTTTATCAATTGAGTCACTGAGTCTGTTGAGTTCAAAGGTGTATTGAATGAATTTTTATTGCCGGTTTGGTTTTATTTGTTGGAAAAATAAATATAGAAATATAATTTGACACAAGAGGGCAGTATAGTCCTATTTATGGTTTTGAGTTTAAACTAAACCATGACAGCTGTTTTCAAAAGTGGACCAACACGATTATTTCACGTCTTGTCGTGATACCAGGTTGAAGAAATGTTGTTTTGGCCACTTTGTTTGATATAATCACAACAATTTAACGTAAGCAAGAATGGGATTTGAACTCAGATCTTCTTGATTAAAGTCCAACACTTTATCAATTGAGCCACTGAGTCTGTTGAGTTCAAAGGTGTATTGGATGGGGTTTTATTGCGGGTTTGGTTTTATTTGTTGGAAAAATAAATATAATTTGACACAAGAGGACAGTATAGCCCTATTTATGGTTTTGAGTTTAAACTAAACCATGACATCTACACGTTTTCCAAAATGGACCAACGTGAATATGTCACGTCTTGTCGTGATACGGGTTGGGCACTGAAGAAGTTACAGGAGTTTCTTCCCGTTGCTAACGGAACTAGGTCGAGTATTTAAAAGGTTATGGTTAACACGGTTAACGTGGTTTAACGTCGATGTAATACGTTGTTTTAGCGTACCTTTTGCTTAAACGAGGAGCTGGGGGACGCCGGAAAAATAGACATTTTACTCATTAGGCTGCTAAACGTGACATTTAGACGTTTTCTTCGGCGTGGATCCAGGCAAATGAATCCTTTTCACCTTGAAAATATTATTATTATTATTATTATTATTTGCATTTTAAATAATAGAAAATTTCTCAGTGATCGTAAATAAAACAAAATTCCATTTTTCTCGGTTTAATGAAAACCTGACATCTACACATTTTCCTAAGTGGAATATGCATTTAATTTAATGGTTTATTTTTCCAAAAATATTCTCTAAGAGATTATACCCCTGGAACCCCACAAGGAGATGCCACCTTTTTTAAAATTAATACAATTAATTCATTCATTAAATTCATATAGTTCTAGAACTTTTTCGGACGTGAGGTTCAGTGGGTGTGTTACGTTTGTTTGCTCGCGTGCGCGCGCTTCACTGTAGAATGTGAGCGCGTGCTTGCGTGGCATGTCCCGCCCTGCTATCCGTAGTAGCATACACAACAACACACACACACACACACACACTGCTCAGCTTTTCCTCAGTTTCGTGTGTGCGCGTGTGAGCTCATCTGCTGTACAGAGGGAGGGACGGACAGACAAGAAACATCGCTTTGCAACATAAACCAATCAGAGCGACACATTACCGAAGACATCGATCGGATTTATTTATCAATCTGACGGAAACCACCATTAGTCTGTCAAACAATAACCTTCAGAACCCCAAAGAAACATTAAGCGCTGACGACATGGCTGATTTTAGTATTGATAAGAACAACCTGCCTGGCGTAAAAGAGGGTGAGTGAAGATGAAGACGATGGTGTGCGTGCCGAGACATTGTGTGTTTGCGATAAAACAAACAGGCGAATGGCACGCGCTTGTCTCGCGCAGAGAGAAACGCATTTACCGCACGACACGAGCGCGAGCTTCATTCAGAGATGTCCGTTGTGTCCTGTCAGATTATTCAAAACGTTTACTATGATTACATTGTGTTCAATTATGAATGGCTCAGTAAATTGGTCATCTTTTATAAGATGGACAGAAATATTTCCGTCAACAGAGCATTGTTGTCATTGAGTCCTCAGCGGTGAGAAACGCCGTAATTAACTAATATAGAAAGAGAAAGCGATTGATTTATGGCCTGTTTTGCCTCAAATATAGATGGCGTAGCGTGGCTAACATTAGCTTTAGTTGCTGTGGTGTGTAATGTGTATTGGCTGTTAGCAATGTGAATTCTGGCACATGTGTTGAGATTCAGCATGACTGAAGATGACTGGTGCAACCCAAGCTGTTGGTGGCTGATCATCTTGTTATTAAAGGAAAAGCTTGCTTTATTAATGTGGCAGTATTTACAGACCTTGTCATTTCTTCCCCCAAATCCTGTGTGTGATAGTTTATTATCTGAGGTTCAGAGTCAACTAGCCTAACGTTACTGGTCTAAAAAAAAAAAAATGAAATAGTAATTATATAGTTGTATAGTTATATAGTTATAGTAATTGGAGACAGAATATTGTTTTTTTTTTTATTGTTTCATATAAAATAAGTGATTTAAATTGAAATATGACCGAGAAGGTTAAGGACAGGCCAAATTCACAATTTAAAACGGATTAATTTTCATTCAGATTCATTTATTGGTCAGAAACCGAATCCAAATAATAGTATTTGTAAGCAATTTGGGACAGTTAATAATTTCATATGAAATCATTTATCTTAACCTAAATACATTCAAAGAGGTTAACCTCTCTAAAGTTGCGGTCACATTTATACTTATATGGTGAAATTCCAATGGCAAATTGCAGTCATTTCAATAGAAGTAGGCCTATGTACAATCTAGAAATTAGCATGAGACCAATCATTTCCCTGTTTTGATTTTGTATCATCACAGTTTAAGTTTAGTCTAATAAATACTAGTGTGTTGCCTAGACTACTCTAGTTTGTTAAACTTTTAACTAAGGATGCACCGATACCAGTATCAGTATCAGGTCCGATATACTGCGCTCTTGAACTCGTACTCATCAAATAGTTTTTCCCTCTTTTCCACCTCACTTTTAAATTGCTTATGAATGCCCGTGCAGATTAGCTGAATTGTTGAATGGTGGGTTCATTATTTTGCAGTGAAAATACAGGTATCAGTACTCTGTATCGGCAAGTACTAAAAGTATTGGTCGGTATCAGACGCGTTCTGGAGAAAGTGGTATCAGCGCATACATACTTTGAACACAGAATTGTCATGTTCGCCAATAAAAAGCTGCTTAGTCTGGAAGTGACCTTTGAGTAAACAGACAATTGGTGTCTTTAAAACAAACTACTTTTCATTCAGATTTAGTTATTGGTAAGCAGCTGAAATTCAAAAATCAATTAATCTAGTTAATTAAGGACCACAAGTTGGTTTCTAGTTGTTTATTTAATTTGAATTATTTTCAGTCTGAGACCACTGAGGAGTAAAACAAACTAGCCTACTCTTTAAACAACATGACATTGTGTCTCTAAAAGCCATTAGAAACCAAAGTGGCCCATGTTCGTGAAAACTGGCCATTAGACTCTTTTTTTTTTTTTTTTTTTAATCATTGAGCCTATTTATACACCTAGAACCCCAAAAGACTAGTGAAAATGTGTTTTCTCATTTGGTTAGATGTATTGTGTATTATCTTTATAAAAAAATTGAGTGTTCAACTGTAAAATTTAGAATAGTTTCACATGTTTTGAAGACAAACGGGTACGACACATTTCTCACTCACGGGTTTCTGTTTGTTTTTGCTTGAAGAATGTCTTTGTGGGTTTCTGTTTTCAGTTGTTCCGTGTGTGAGGATTCAGCATTTTGTTGTGTTGCAGCTGCTTTTTTGCTCATGGAGGCAATGTTGGGGATGTTTGCCTGGAAAACTTGCAGGCTTAAAAATTGTGCTGGTTTTGCTGCCTTGCTAAGATCTCATGGGATGCTTTCAATGTTGTTTTCATGTTTGCTTTGGATAGCTTTTAGCTTTTCCTTCTGTGGCTGTTTCTTGTTTGCCAGTCACTGCTCGGGTGGTGCTTGCTTAGTGCATTAATTTTGAACGCTATATTATATGCTTTCAAAATCTGAGGTAAATTATCCGTTATCGCTTGTGGCACCGTAACCTAATGCATTTGAACTTCGACAATCAGTTCCTCGCCGATGTTTGATGATTAAATATTCATGACACGCAGAACTTCCATCCAATGAGATCTCTGCACTGTAAAAAATATTTTCAAGATTTGCTATCACAACATATTTTCTTATGTCAAATCAACTTTATAATAATTTATTTAGTTGTGATAACTTATTTTTTTTGAGTTTCTGATGAATAAATTAATCTCCTTCATTGTATTAACTCACTTTTTCCAGTTCAATCAACTTAAAATTTGAAGGCAACCCAGGTTACTTTTTTAAGTTAAACCAGCAGTATTTTTTTTTACAGTGTAGTAATCACAACATTTTTTTCTTTTGTCAAATCAACTTAAATAATTTATTTAGTTCAGATAACATATAATTTTGAGTTTCTGATGATTAAATCATTCTCCTTCATTGTATTAACTCACTTTTTCCAGTTCAATGAACTTAAAATTTTAAGACAACCAGGTTACTTACTTTTTTAAGTTAAACCATCAATATTTTTTTACAGTGTGTGTGACAGCAACGTCGCAGAAATAGGAACCGTTTCTAAATTAGAAACTTTGTGTCGCCGTCGCGTCTGGTTAGGACAAAAACTTTGATTAACATGAAAAAGATACCTTTTATCGTGTGTCGCAGCGTCGCGTGTAGGTAGGACACGGAGTTGGCCTCACAACACAAACAGCTGACTCGCCGAACCAGCTGGTGCCGTTAATTGACGAAACAACAGGTTAACTAAAAGACACGATTAATTACATGATCATACACCCATTGTGTTCAAACAAATGTTGAAATTACCTTGAGTGATGGGATGATCACTGCACAGACGTGTAACGTTATACTGTGAAGGGCTTGCTTATCTCATCTGGTTAGTACAACAACTATCTGGCGTGTCATTTACACCTCGAAACACCAACTTTTGTATAAAAACTGGCGACGTCCTGGCAAGATCCTTGATTAGTTTACTGAGTTTGCTGGAGAACTTTGCTGGAGCTTGTGACGTCTCATGCAAAGAATAGAGGGACGGTAATCTCTCAGATTTCATTTAAATTAACTTCATTTGTGTTTCAAAGATAAACGGAGGTGTCTATCAGACCAGTCTGACTCAGTACTGAAGTCTGTACTTATATGATGACTGAATAAAAACCTTTAAGTAGTCTCCATGCATATGGAGATGAAGCCCATAGTAGATGCACAGTCAGCACCGAGTTCTTGTTGTCACTAGAACTTTCTTGGTTCCTTCTGCCAAATGTTACTCAGCCGTTATATAGGGCATTAAGATGCCATGATAGTGCTTCACCAACCAGTAGACTAAAAATAATAGTTTGTGAAATGCACATTTTGGTATTGGTTCCTCATTTTAGCGCTATGTATATCCTCTCAGTTCTGCAGATTTATTTTAGTCCAGGACGCCACTGAAGATATTAATCAGCAGCAGATGGACGACGTGTTTAATCACAAATCTGCAGCAACGGCTTAATCTTATCCTCTAGTCTTTACATGTCTCGCCCAAGCTAAGCGTACAAACACAGACTGATGTGAAAATTGATAGGTAAATTAGTATTGTGCAAATTGTCACTAAATTCACTCAGAGCTGTAGCACACAGTCTGATTATGGTGTGAAACTGGGTGCGTGTGTTTGGTTATATTAATTACGCTCAATTCCCTGAAACAGTAATGCAGTTTTTCTTGCAGACTAATACAGAAGTTGTTGTTATCTGATTTAGGTTATCAGAGCGTGTGTCAGACGCTTGAGGGAGTTTTTTTTTCCAGTCACAAATTAAGCACACGATTTCATTGCTTCTCCACCTGTGTTAAGAAACGTGTCTCAATATCCGGGAGGCTGCCAGGTGCAGAATCAGGCCTGGCTAAGACATAAAAAAGGAAGATAAGATCATGTTAAAGAGCCGACATGGTTTCAGTTTCGCAAGATATTTATAACTGATGTGGTCATTGTGTGTTGCCCTGCAGTTTTAGACCAACTCCAATAATACATTAATATATTAAACTATAGGCTACGTGATTCTATATAGTTGTTATTGTATGTTTTTATTTTTGCTATATCAATATAGCCTTCTGCTCTTTTGGAATTAATATTAAATGTATTTGAAATATGTTTGAGGTCTGTAAGATTTAAAAAAAAAATGTTTTTTTATAGAAATCTAAATAAAAAGTTGTTGATTATTTGAGAACTTGGTTACAAAAACAAAATTCTTAACATTAAAACTAGCCACACTCACAAGCACACAATTATGATGTTCTCATTATAATTTTATGTAGCTTATGTGACTGAATTGTGCTGCACATGTTGCTCTTTAACTGTATTTTCCTTTTTTGAAGTGATTCTAATCATATTTCAAGCAATTCGAAACCATCATTCATGGCGAACAGTGCGCATCTGAAGTTTCTCAGCTGAAGGAAATAATGCATTATTTTTCGGCTTTAATATTTTGACCATATTTTTGGGCTGATAACATTAAAATGAACACACATCAGCTGATACTGATATGGTGGCCGATGCATCCCTAATTTAAATATATTTAAATATGTAATTTAATCCTGTATAGTCAAAGCTAAATTTTCAGAATCATTACGCTTTCAGTGTTACATGATCCTTCAGAAATCATTCTAATATGCTGATTTGATGCTCAAAAACCATTTCTTATACATTTATATGTATTATTGTACATAATAATATACATTATACAATCTTGAAAACAGTTGTTCTGCTTTTTTTGTGGAAACCATGATAGTTTTTTTTTCAGGATTGTTTGAAGATTAGAAAGTTAAAGAACAGCATTTATTTGAAATCGAAATTCAGGATGCAGATGCACCGATGTATTATTATTATTTTTTTTTATTTAAAGGGTAACCAAACCCCTGGACTCCACCCACTGGCAATATTTGAAAAATGCTAAAAAAGTGGGCAGACCCCAGCGGAGATAGAGGGGACGAAATAGATGCTAAAAACACTCTATCCTGATTCCTGATCGTTTTTAATACTCGCAATTCCAACTTCTGACTCGCTACAGTGGTTTTGACTAAAACAAGCTAGTTTTTATACAAGAGCGTGGTGAGCTGAAACGTGCGTACGTCACGAAGAACCGCTAACATCCAATAGGAAAATTCAACTGCCACCATTCAACCTGAAGAGGGCAGCACTAAAATGTTTTTACACCATATATTGTAGAAATAAAACGCTTTATACACAAATTCGTGTAAAAGTTACTCGAATCAATGACTGGTATTAATAAAGATCCATTCTTCTTACAGATCATTAAATAAAAAAAAAAGATGGTTTAGGGTTTAGTTACTCTTTAAATAAAAGGGTCTCTTTTATGTGAGTGTGATTATTATATAAATAGCAGTTGAATATAGTAGTTTGGGCTCTGTTGTCAATTGTAACCTCTAATATCATAGTAATGCACCAAATGAAAAGGTTTCCTCTCTGTCTAGTTTACTAGTTTTTTTTTTCCCCTTAAGAAAATCTAACTATCGGTATCGGCAGATATCGGTCTGAATGACTGGAGAACTGAGTATCAGTGCATCTCTAACAGAACTCTTTTGTAACATAAATGTCTTTACTGTCAATTTTGATCAATTTAATGCATCCTTGCTGAATAAAACTGTTAATTTCTTCCCTAAACCTTTGAACCTTTGTGTAAATCCAATACTAACTCGTACTTTGTTGCACATTCAGATAAATGCCACAACAATGTGTGAGACTGTGTTTACCTAAACCTGTTGTCCTGAAGTTTGCATTGTGGACTTCCTGAATGTTTTGAAACTGACGTAACTCTTTGTCAACAGTAGATAATCAGATTTCTATCTCTTTTTGTCCGTGTGCAGTGTGCCGGGACTTTGCCGTGCTGGAAGACCACTGTCTGGCCCACAACCTTCAGGAACAGGAAAGTAAGTCATAAGTAACCTGTATTTTTTTTAACATAAATGAACGTTATTGCATGGAATCTTATGACGTTTTTTTTTTTTTTTTTTTTTTTTTCACTAAATGAATCATTCAAAGCCTTTATGGTTTTTCATGTCCTTTTGAGAGCTAGTGCAACATATTAATCACAGTGGAACGAAAAGTCCAAACTTATCTTCCCCTTTTGCTGCAGTGCAAGGTTTTACACCTTCACCACAGATCATATCTATCATATGTATGCATGTCGGAGGGCAATTGAAAATCCTGAGCTCTTGAGGACACAATGAAGGACCTAGACAAAATGTGGATGGCTGTTAGACACAGCATCTGATTCGACGACCTCCAGCTGCGCTTCACAGTCCTCGTGTTTTTGTGACAGGCTGTAATATTGCAAACACACTCAAATCAAAAGGAAGTTCCCCTTCCAGGAAGAGTCAGTATCTGTGGCATACAAAAAAAAAAATCTTAGAAAGTTTGTAGCCGCAAAAAAACAAAAGAATGCTTTTGCAGATTCTTTCAATTGTATGGTTTTGGAAAGATCTGAAAACCCCCTCTGTATGTGGGCAGGTATTGGAAACACAGGTTCCCTTATGGGGAATTCAATTATTAATAAATTCTCCCGGCAAATGAATTTTTCTGCGTGATCTGCTGTATCAATTCAATAAATAAACCCATGAGAAGTCCTTAAAAAACTGACCTTTAGACTTTATTTTCTCTACAGGAGAGCTAGATTTTAGTATTATTTATATAGTAGGCTATTTCTTCATATTTTGTATTAAGCTTTATTTTTATATTTTCAGGTTTCATTTTAAGTTGGAGTAATTTTAGTACTTCAATCTAATTTTTATTTCCACTTGTTGCTAAAGCAACTAAAAATTGTTGGTTTAATATTTTCATATAATTATTTTATTTCAGCGTTATTTTAAATGCTTTCATTTCAGTTTTCCTATTAAGTTTAAGGTTGTTTTTATTTTTTATTATCTATTATTTTATTGGTAACACTTTACAATAAGGTTCATTAGTTAACATTAACTAATAATGAACTGAACTTATACAGCATTTGTTAATCTGTAATGTTAATTTTAACATTTACTATTACTTTATTAAAATATTGATAACATTAGTTTATGCACTGTGAACAAACAATGAACAGCTCTATTTTTATTAAGTAATGTTTACAAAGATGAACAAAAACAGTAACAAATGTATTGCCCATGGTTAGTTTCTCATTAGTTCATACATTAATGTTTAATAAATTCATCTTATTGTAAAGTGTTACCTTTTTAATTAGCGGTTTTAATACTTTTACCAATACCAACACTATAGTAGAGTGTTAAATCAACACTGACGACCTTTCATCAGCTTGCGTGTCACACATCAACTTTGTTTGGTCGCACTGTCAGATGGTGCAAAACCAGTGAATGAAAGCCAGAGAACGACTCGTAATGTAATCTTCAAATAGCTTGACTGACTTGAAGCTATATCTATCACACATATGTTTCGATTTATGGATTTTTTCTTTCTTTCTGGTACACGTTCTCAAATGTAACGTGTGCTCACAGTCACAGGATCAATAAAAAGTGTTCAGACTTTGGGAAGATGATGCACTGTGTCGGCTAGAATTGCGTCATTGTCTACGATTTACTGTCGTGTCGATGCAGCACGTTGACTCGGCCTTGAAAGGGCACTGGTTTGATGTTCCCCCCTCAAATTGCCATTTCAGAGCATGTGCTGCTCCCAGTTAAGATATATAAGATGCAATGACATATTATTATAAATCATGTAACATGGTGTTTACATGGTCATGTAACATTGTAACTAAAAGTTTTGTCTTTTAATTATCAGTCCACAGTCATATATTTTATAAACTTTAGAAAAATATTTTGCAAAAAATAGTAATTTATTCATTTTTTTATTATTTATTTATTATTATTATTATTATTTGCATTAGTTGTTTTCACTGAATTAATAGTTTATTTGGTTTTTAAAAAGTTGCATAACCAAAACTAATTTATCTTATTTTATTATTATAAATGTTTTGCATACATTTCCCCCACTGAATTACAATTACATTGTAATATTGTCTTTAATTATAATGATTCATTATTGTTACTGCTATCATTTTTTAAATTATCATTATTATGACTAAACACAGAATATTAAGTAAGTAGTCACTTAGTTTGACTTGAGTGAAAATGCTTTTGTTTTTATTACTAATATAAAAAATATATAATTCATTGAATAATAATAAATCGGAATTATTTTGACTTAATATTCTGTTTATTTATAGTAATAAAAATAATAAAAACAGTAATATTGATTTTATTAAATTACTATATTAATATTATTTTACTTATTAAATTACTATAACTGCAATAAAAATGTTATTTTATAATTGTATTAAATTTAATGTCATTATTATTATTTTTGAAATACTTTTTCTTACAAATGTATGTAAAATATCAGTCTTTACTTGTTGATTTATGAATTATAATAGACTGATGGGGATAAAAAACAACACTATTTTGCTGCTACTTTTTTAAAATAGTTTTTTATTATCTAAGAATTTCTTGCTTTTTGTTAGTTTTTATTAGTTGTCATTTTTATATAAACATTTAACTTCTAAAATAAAGGTTTACAATAACATCGCCATCTTCTGTTAAATGTGGGCCTACATGCTCATCTATTGTACAGTAGATGATATTGGTAGAGGGTGGTGGTGGCCCACATCAATATTTTTTCAGGGGCCCCGAAGTGTGTGTGTGTGTGTGCGCTCTTACTTAGATGGGATAAATGCAAAAGACAAAGACAAACTTTTGTGTCATTTATTTGAATTAGACATGGTATGAAGTGAGTCTTGTCTAGCGTGTGTTACATCTAAGAGGTTTCTCCTCTTTTACTCTTCCAGTCGAGAGCCACCTGGCCTCTAACGTCCACAAGAGCCGCCTGGTGCAGCAGGACCTGCAGGTGGCCAAGCGTCTGCAGGAGGAAGAGGACCTACGGGCCAAAGTCGAGAGCAAGAGACAACATCGCCGCCTGTGAGTGACCTTTGAAAACACTTTGTCCTGTGTGAGACATACAGCTTTTATGAGACCAGAGAGATGCTGGTCATGTAGCGCTTAAAGGTCAGACTGTGCTGTGTCTGTTTGTGAAAGAATGTGGAGAGGAAGGTCGTTCTTCCCTCAGACCTTCCCAAACTCTCGGCAGCAGACGTCTGATGTCAGATTGTTATTGCTGTCTGTTAAGATGAGTAGGTGTACTGACATAAACTTGAGTGTGCACTTCAGTCCTTGTTTGCTCATGTTGTTTAAAGTTGTGTCTCCACTTTATACACATAATGTGTGGAGTTTAGTTTGGCTCCTGCTGCGCTTTGAGCTTGTGTCTGCACACGAAGGCCTTGTCGTCTCGTAGTGCGCTGTCGCAGTAAAATGTTTTGACTTGTGCTCATGTCACTTGCGGATAAAGTGTCCCTTCCTGCTGGGCAACGTCTCAAGGCCTCTAAGCTGATGGAGTCATCAGAGAGAGAGAGAGAGAGAGAGAGAGAGATGAGACTCAGACATTGCAGTAGTAGATATTGTTATGAATTTTAGTCGTCCATCAGTTTGTTACAAATATACACTATTTGGGAAAGATTTTTGTTTTTAAAGAAATGAACTTTTATTCAGCAAAGAGACATCAAAGTGATCAACAATGACAGTAAAAACATTTATAATGTTATTTCCCAAATAAAAAAAATCCTGAAAAAAAATTATGACGGTTTCCACAAAAACATTTAGCAGCACAACTACTAATATTTATAATAATCAGAAATTGAGCATCAATTCAGCATATTTGATATCTGAAGGATCATGTGACACTGAAGACTGGAGTAGTAATGATGCTGAAAATTCAGCTTTGATCACAGGAATAAATTACTTTGTAATATATTTTACAATAGAAAAATGTTATTTTAAATAGTAAAAAATATTTCAAAATATTATTGTTTTTATTGTATTCTTAATCCAATAAATGAAGCCTTGGTGAGCAGAGAGACTTCTTTTAAAAACAGTGTTAGGCCGGATAGTGTAATCAGGGTTTTGTTCAGTTCTACATTATTGAACATGTTGTGTTGCCTCCTAAATGTGTCTGAGTCAAACTAATTACATTAACTAGGTTGTAATGGGATTGCTTTACTAATTAATCTCTGAACGTTAATCACATTACTGGTTGGTTACTTTGGAATTAATCTCCCAAACTCATATAAATCTTTACCAGAACAGTACAAGTTAGACACAAGTATTTACAAAACATTAAAGGGAATTTATATTTAATTTAGTGTTGTTATTGTTAACTAAAACTATTAATAAAAAAAAAACATTCTGCTGATTGTAATAAAGCTAAAATAAAATATTAATATTAGATTAAAAAAACTTACATTTTCATGTATATATATTCAACTCTATATTTTCATTCAAGTTTAAGTACTAAAATTGCTAATGATAATTAGATGTATTTTAAAAGAAACAACACCACCTAATAAACTTATCACAAACAAAATTAATAAATTAAAATCTCAAATTAAAATAATAATAAATATTAATAAATATTAGGGCTGTGCAAAAGTTAATTGCGATTAATCGCATCCAAAATAAAAGTCTGTGTTTACATATATATTTGTGTGTGCTGTATATAATTATTTTGTATATATAAATACACACACATGCATGTATATGTTTAAGAAAATGTGTTATTCCTATATAAAATATTTATATTTATATAATATAGATTATGTATTTATATATATATACAGAATTTAAGAGCAAATAATTCTTAAATATATGCATGCATGCATAGGTATTTATATATACAAAATAATTATATACAGCACACACAAATATATTATGTAAAACAGACTTTTATTTTGGATGCGATTAATCGCAATTAACTTTTGCACAGCCCTAATATTTATTAATATTTATTATTGTAGTTTATAAATAATGCTAAAATAATACTGGTTTTATTGTATAATTCCAAGTTTATTGTGTATATCAAGTTCTGCACATGAAAATAGGCCAAAAAGTTCACAGGTTTTTATTGTCCAGAGGCCGCAAAAAAGTGTGAGGTGCACAAAATGTTTTAATCCTGATTTTTTTTTTTTTCAATGACAGTTACTCAGCATAGTAGACAGCTCTAGATAATAGTAACATTTTGCTTTGTAAGTAATTGCACTCGATGCTGGAGATTGGTCTTCCCTCTTAGACACAGCAATTGAAAGCTATGGTGGCTGATTTGAGAAGCTCACCGTGTGAAAACTCAAGTGTTTTCTTTCCCTCTGTCCTGTCAGGGAACGCATCGACAATGAAATTGCTCAGGAGATTCAAGAACAACTCGTCCGGCAGGCTGAACAACAGAGGCAGCAGGAAGAGAAAGATGAGGTGAGAGCAGGCCGCCTTGCAGCCATTCATTTTCACACACTCGGGTTGTGTTGGTCATTGGTTTAGCCATGCCCTCAGCAGTCACGTTACTTCATCGTGATTGTGTTTGTAACACTTCACAACTCACATTCTCTGTGTGTTATTCATCAGTAAGGCTTAGACGTAACCACACCCATGTCTGTTACATCATTGCTATTCTTGTTTCGCTCCACTCATTCTTTTGAACTTGTTTATATGCGTTCAACTAGGCCATCGCCAGGAAGCTGCAGGAGCGAGAGATGAAAGAGGAGAGAAAACGGCAAAAGCAGATGGAGGAAAACATTGAAGAGGAGTACTACGAAGACAAAGGTGTGTAGAGCGCCCCCTGGTGGGAGGTGTGCAGTTAGGCAAAGATAAGGTTCGGAGAACAGAAAATGTGTCGAAAGAAAAGATCTGTAAACACATTTGACTCCTGGGAAATCTGCAGTTGTAGGGTTTGCTGCTCCGCATCAAATATTTGACCACAGAACGGAGTTTGAAATTTGTGCCTTTTCATGATAGCCAGTACATTTAATAAACAAAAAACGGACAACGTGTTTTCATTAGTTGCACTCAAAAGAAAACATGAAACACGTGCCGCAAAAAAACCCCACATTATTAAGCAATTATTTCTTTTAATAACATGTGGTTATTAAAATAAGTAATTGGTTAAAGTCCCCGTGAAATCAAAATTGAACCTATTTACTTTGTTAGCGCATATTACTAGTCTTGTGGTGAACAATTAATCCGTGCAAGTAAATATATATTAAAAAAATGTTTTACCTTGGTAATCTTTAATCAAAATCTGAAAAGTTACTTCCGGTCTGGAACGGTTGATTACGTAGGTTTCACAGTTTGGGTGGGGAAACGCGTAACCACTCCCCTCAAACCGTTAGTTTGCTATGAGCGAGAGATGGAGAGGAGGAGCGCTAGAGTAAAACCCTGCCCTCTGTTCAATATTCCGTTTCACTTGGAAATACGTCACAGCACTGGAGAAAAATCATTTGCAACTTCCGGTTCACGGGGACTTTAATAATGTGTTGGGGGTTTTTTTTGGAATATGTTGGATAATTTAAGCATGTGACAAAATAAGAAAATGCCAAAAATACTAACAAAAAGTCAGAAAAAATATATAGTTTTGTTTTGTATGTAGTTAAGACCAATTATGACCAAAAGTAGGACATTGAAACTTTGATATTCCTGGGCAAATTTTGACATGCATTGCGCCTTCCTGTTTCAATTGGTTCGTACTTATGCTTTAGGAAGCAATTACAGTAATGAACACATTTCATGCATTCCAAGCCCCAAGCACTCCAGACGCTTTCATCTGTTTGTTGAGAAGATAAACAAAATGTTAGTGCGCAACTTATTTTGTTTAGTAAACACAAGGGATCTGTGGGAAGGTTTTCTTGCCTCCGATCTAAAACGGCACCAGCAGACCATGTTGCATTCGTAATGGGCAACCATTTAGTGACTAATGCTACAAAACTGGACATGCAAGTTGTTCATGTCAACACTGCATCTGTTAACTCAACCCGCCCTGCATGGCTGCCCTTGCGTGCCAGTGTTTGCATTCAAACTGTTTGCTTTCACGTGTTACGTAATCATTCTCTCATGCAATCATTTGGATGTGTTTAGGGCCTCTTGCTGGTCAACCAGTATCGTACCCCGTAGGGTCTGTTTGCCTCATTAAACACTCATGCAAAACTTTTATTCATTGGTGCTTAATGAAGTGTGCGTTTCACCAAAACTCCCTAACCCTAGAGGTGAAACTTCAGCACGCAATGCATTTCTTCGTGTTGTTGATATTCTGTTCATAAGAACCCCCTGCTATGATAAGCACAGATTAGCACCCGCCTACAGGGCACAACATAAAAGATTCAGCATCTTTGTGCAGGAGTATCTTTAGCTCTCTCTCTCTCCTTCCCTATCGAACCGTGACCGCATAGCTAAGCTCTGTTCTCACACCATGATGCAAATAATTAGACCTGTGTTGTGTTCTGCAGATCGTTTTAGGAGTGTTAACAAGAAATTTGCAGTCTAAAAAGTCGTAGTCCTGGTTTGTTGGCATTAATCTGAATGAAAATGCACATGGACCTTTTTTTATAAACCCCCACTGTATGCACTCACCCAATCCCCCTGTTGAAGTGTGTTTTGTTTTCGTAAAATAACCCACATACTTTTCTAATTTGCTCAACTGGAGTTGCTATAGACAGGATCCAAAATGAACACTCTGCAAGTGTCAAAAACCCTTTACTGTACGTTCACACTGCCGCCGACCATCAAAATTTAACCTATTTACTTCGTTAGCGCACATTACTAGTCTTGTGGTGAACAATTAATCCGTGCAAGTAAATATATATTAAAAAATGTTTTACCTTGGGAATCTTTAATCAAAATCTGAAAAGTTACTTCCGGTCTGGAATGGTTTCTTTTTCTGATGACGTAGGTTTCACAGCTTGGGTGGGGAAACGCTTAACCACTCCCCTCGAACCGTTAGTTTGCTATGAGCGAGAGATGGAGAGGAGGAGCGCTAGAGTAAAACCCTGCCCTCTGTTCAATATTCCGTTTCACTTGGAAATACGTCACAGCACTGGAGAAAAATCGTTTGCAACTTCCGGTTCACGGGGACTTTAAGTGTCAAAGAAGCTCTGGCCGCTCTGTCAAGGACGCTTTTCAAATAGTACAGGGAAGCTTGTTGGACGCTTTGAACGCTCTGACGTTGCAGGGAGAATAGTAGAAGTGTCACAACATAAAATGTAATAAACAGAAAAAAAACAAGCAATACATAGAAGAAACCTTTTATAATGACAGCATTTTAATAACCGTTTTGGTCATATTTGGTCGGGAAAAAATAGTTAGCTATTATTATTATTGTTTGCGGTCCAATTGGTGTCGCCATGAGCAAATTAATTGCATTCCCGCTTTAAAACGAGCGTTTGTAAATATTTCAAAGAAATGTTGCGCTCATGCAGTCCCTCCCTATAAGCAAACAACGTCATGTCATAAATGATACGAAACCAGTAGGAATCACAGCAACGCGATTATTAGCTCTTCTTCCTTTTTCTCGGAACTAATGTTTTGGTAGGAAAACATTACATTGTGTGTTTCTTCGGAATCAGTCGGCGTGAAGGACGTCTATATTCCGATTGGTTACTGGCGTTTGCCGCTGCTTGCCACTGAACCGCGTCACAGCTCATTACCATAATATTGAGCTTATTTCAACTTTCGGATTGACGCTCAAAACACCCAAAAACGCGACGGCGATGGATTTGACGCTCCTTGCAGCTGAGAAAAGCCAGCTTCCGTTTAAAATGAATGACTTCCGGCCGCTTTGGAAGCTCAAGTCTGCGGCAGTGTGAACGTAAGGTTAGACATATCTGCATACATAATTTTGGACCCTGGCTGTAACCTCTTCATTTGAAGGTCTTGGCACTACTTGTCAGCAATAGCTTATTTAACATTTTACATTCTGCATGATCCAGAGTGAACTAACTCTTTTGTACTAACGAGGTTAGGTTTTATTTCCCTCTGCACTCCACCTTGCCCTTACTCGCTTTGACGCAGCCGCCAGGAGCCTCCCGCACCTTCCTCCTGACTTGCAAGAGCCGAAACCCCGCTCCACTTCTCCAGGTTACAGAAAAGAGAAGCATCACAGCCACAATCAAATTCTTTCCCCGTACAACTCTCCCGTGCCAGACAGAAAAGTAAATCCCCGTAGTCGCTATCCAGAATATGAGCCTGTTGAACACCACCGAACTAGGCATCCAGAGATTCCAAGCAAGGAAAGGATCCCAGAGTACTACTCACCTGAGCGACGACCGAAATACCCGGAAGATTACTCGAGAGAGAGAAACAGACCTCTCGACCTTGATTACAAAGAACCTCGTAGAAGAAGGAAGCCAGATCAGTGGGACGACCTGGAGCCGGTGCGGCAGAAGGAGAAACCTCCCGGCCAGGATAGGGTTTGGGACAAGGAGAGGAACAGGGATCGAGAAAGGGACGGACAGAGATCCAAGGACAGGCCAAGAGATCGAAACCGGACTAGAAGTCAAGACAATGTCAGGGGTAGAAACGTGGACAGGGAGATGGACAGGAATGGCTACGGACATGCTAGCAGAGACAGACTTGGAGAACGAGGCAGAGATAGGAATAGAGAGAGGCACAAAAGTAGAGACCAAGAACTGGATGAGCACAGTCTCTCCCCAACTAGAGGATTGTCAGAAGACAGCTTGGAGAGGGAGGATCTCAAGAGCAGGCCGAGGCTCCCGTCAGGCCCTAATGAGGTGTTTGAGGAGCCCACTCTCAGAGGCCCTTCAAATGAGGGCCCGTCCCCTGGCCCTTCCTCCAGAGAGAGAGGTATGGACTTGGGTCCACGTGTTTGATTGAACCTTCTTGGACTTTGCTGTGCCATCTGGTGGCACTCTGATTTCCTTTTTCCTATCCGTTGGTGATTGTGGTTTGTGGGAATCTTGCGCGCTAAATCTTGACGGTGGCTACAAACTTGCATTTTTGATCATTCCTTTTCAATCCCAAAATAAAAATGGCTTCTTGGGCTGCTGTGTGAATAAATAATGAGGCTGAAGTGTGGTTCTGAAGTGTTTTCTTTGGCCTGATATCCTCTAATGCCCCCTGCAGGCCGAAAGGTTAGAGGAGAGTATGGCATGAAGGAAGCTACACATGGATTGGCCAACTTAGACCTACACGACCAGGAGCTCAGAGATATGGAGGTGGCACGAAGACTACAAGAAGAAGAAATTAAGGTACCTTGTATCTCTGTGCTTTTAATTATTGGGGATTTGTAAATCCAAAAAGTAACTGCATATCTTTTTTTTCAGGCTAGTCAAATTGACAAACGAGCCGCTCAAGTTGCTAAAGATGAGGTACAGCATGCCCCTCCCCCCCTTCGCACACACATTTGAGGTTGTTGTTACCTCCAAACCTAATCATGTTATGCGTCTTGCAATGTATTTTAAGGAATTAGCCCGCCTGCTATTGGAGGAAGAGAAAAGGGAGTATAAGAGATCGAAAGAGGAGAAGAAGCAAGTGATAGACAGAAGACGACCCGAGGTAGAGTACAAGGTAAGCATCGTTGTGTTCTGTCTTCTGGTTTGTTTTGTCACAGCATAAAGGTAATCTTACGGATTTATGAATGAACCGCTCATTATAATATTATAAAAAGTCATTATAATATTATATAGGCCAATTCAATTAAGCTTATGAGAATTTGGAATCAAGGTAACAGGCTGTATTGACATTGCACTCTTTAGCAGTAGCACTTGTGCAATTCTACATATCCCTTTCCTTAGTTCAGTGGTTCTTATTTTTAATTTTCTTGAGTGCCTTACCCCCTCTCTTCTATTTAACTGCAGTCACATATTTGCCCCTATTAATCGATTTTTACAGTTCATTGTTTACCTTTATAAATACCTTTATAAAGTAATGATGTTAAAAACAAAGTGATGCTTTTAAATATTAAATTAAAATCGCCAGTAGGTGGCGGTAAGTCACTGTCTTGACACTGTCATTCGTTTAAAGCCACAGATTCATACGTTGCAAAATAGAGATGTTCCGATACCCTAATTCCCTTCCCGATACCTTGACTCAGGGTATCGTCCGATACAGAGTACTGATCTGATACCTGTCGTTTACTGAAATGAATCAGTCGCTTGAACGAATGAATGACTCAATAACTCGCTAATTAAGACTGTCACCTGCCGCCACCTACTGGTGGTTTAGTGTTATGTTTAAAAGTATCAATCTTTTCAATGGTTCTTTGTATATATATATATATATATATATATATGAAGAGTTCAGATGCAAAAGCCTCTAAATGCCATTTGAAATTTTCTTCTTTAATGATGATTTTTATCAAACTTGTATATTTAAGTTCAGTAATTTCACTTAAATAACAATTAATAGGTAATTATCATTGCCATTTAAGTGAAATCACTGAACTTAAATATACAAGCTTGATAAAAATTATTATTCTAGAAGAAAATTTCAATATATTCAAAATTTTCAATATATATATATATATATATATATATATATATAAATTAAACAATCTCATACCATCATATTTTTTCAATGTAAATTATTTAATTTGATCACCCCTACTTAGGGAAACAGCCCTATGTCTTATTATTCCAATTGAATTAATGATCAAATTTATGAATTTAAAATGAATGAAGCATTCATTTAATGAGTTTAGGGGGAGGGGAAGCCCTTTATGACAATATATGCAGATTTAAATAAATAAAAGCTAATTAAACACTGATATTGCATCAGAATAAATTGTATTTACAACACAATGTTATTTAATTAACTTTTTTTACTTGGACAAACGAAGAACAAGCACATGAAAAAGCCCCTGCTTCGAGTATTTAATTTGTGTAGGTAAAGCATGTACTCCCTTTACTCCTAATTACAAGATGGAAAATTGTATGTGTGTGACCTGTATGGCTGTGGAATGGTGCTTAGGGTTAAATGAGCAATATAGTAAATACTGATGCTGCTAAAATTCCCAATATTCCATGTGGGCCTGATGACGTGAACCCTGTCGACACCACTGACATGCTCTCCTCTGCTCTGCTATATTAGCCAGGGCAAGAAGTAGTACGACCACGTATGCGAGAAGAGGTGCGTAGCAGAGAGGACGAGTACCAGAGAGCGCGGAACCACAAACCTGTGAGGTACAACATCTCTGACTCATTAACACCCATTTGCTATCAGAAGTCCCACAAGAGTCTCATGTTCCTCTCGGTTCTTTGTTCCAGGCCGCCTCCTCCTACACAGCACTATGAGAACATAAACCCGAGCTATGCTTATGTGGAGAGCCCGTACACCCCTCGCCCTCCAACAAGACCAGAGGCGGCGTACAAAGGTTCACACCGCACCAATGCCCCTTGAGCTATCGCTTTAAATTCAATCGATTTGTTTTTAATATACGTGTCTTTATCTATTCCTCTTTTAGGTGCCTACTACAGACAGTGACCATAAGCCTCCACTGCTGCCCAATCACGAGTCCGTTCGGCCCTTTACTTTGTGAATCAATAGAGAAGGAAGCGATTCAGAGACTACTTTGAGTTCATGAGGCTTTCGGCGGAAGCTACTGACACTTTAATTTTGTTTTCCCTCCAAGTTTCTCGGCTCAGACGAGCCGTCGTCGTCTCTTCGTGTTGTGAATGAGTCTTTTACCCTGGAGTTATCAACTACTGGGCGACAGGGACGGTTCCTGTTCGCTTCTCATGTTCCTGTCTTATTGTAGATGACTGGACGGGAAGGGATCTACTGCACAGCTTAAAACATCCCTTTTCTTTTCATCTATATTCAAGCCTGGTCTTGATTGCATTGCAGGATACAGTTTTTTGTTTTTTTAATTTAATGGAAAACATGAGTGAATTGTGCTCTATATTTATTGATTTATTTTGAGATGATATAGTTTATTTTTTAATTCGTATATTATTGTTTTACCCTTTCAACCGATCTATCCCAAAAGACTGGCATACACCGAAGTGATCACTTTTCTGGAGAACTGTTTGATGCAAAATTCCAGCCCTGATCGCATTTCGACATCTTGATAAGCAGGTTCAGTCTTCAAACCAATCAAATATCAAGGTGAGGTCGTCTTCTTCATTTTCCCCTCCATATCATTTGTGAGAGACTGGTCATTCGCACTGAGGGCTCACGTACTGCTAGGGTTGGAGACGCTCAGCCCTTTGGGTGCCTTCGTTATTCTGATATTTCCTGCAGTGTCTGTAGCGATCATCTCATCTACTTCATGGGTATTCAGGACCTGCTAATATGCCCCAGTGTTCAAATGCATGCTGGCTGAATGTGAACTCTGTGGGGTCTATATGAAAAAAAAAAGAAATGGCCAAAAACACATCTCTACTCAATCTTTTTATATACAGGTATTTTTATTTATAATTCAATAAAAAACCAAGATACAAGTTTTAAGGCATGTAGTAGCATTGCTATTGGCACAGATGTAAACAGTTTTGTTGCTTGCATCTTCATATGCAGTTCATGCTGTCTCAGTGTTCGGATTTACAGTGCTTTGCATTCGGTGGCAAACTTACTTTAAGCAGGGACACAACAAGTGTGACTACGGCAGCGTTTCTCTGGCTCTTTCCACAAATGGTGTGCAAAATAGATACACAATAGCTTGAAACTTGATTTGATCAATGCGAATATGAACCTTCAGAAGTTTCGTTTAACAGTTTAAGCGAACATGTCATCACAGTTTAGGACTCGTCTAAATATAATTTAAAAACAAACTGTTTCGTTTTAGTTATTTTATTTTTTAGCAATTGTTTATTTCTATCAAAGAAACTTGCAAATTTAGCCTAAATTGATCTATCATTCAGAGCCAAATGTTGCATTTTGGGTTATTCAGATAGGTTTAGCAGTATTATGTTGCTGTTGTGGGATATATAAAACAATACTGGCTATGTGTAAAATACTTTATCTAGCAAATCTAATAGATCTCTGTTAAAGGAGTAGTTCACTTTAAAAAAAAAAAACTTTTGCTGAAAATTTACTCACCCCCATGTCATCCAAGATATCCATATCATTCTTTCTTCAGTCGAAAAGAAATTAACATTTTTGATGAAAACATTCCAGTATTTTCTCTATATAATGGACTTCATTGGGAACCAAATGATTCAAGGTCTAAAAGACAGTTTTATTACAGCTTTAAACGACACCAGATGATGAATAAGGGTCTTATCAAGCGAAATGATCAGTCATTTCAAAAATAAATAAAAAAGTTGAAGTTTTGTAAGCACAATTGCTTACATTTCTCTGTTCTGTGATGCGCGTTCAGGACTCTTCTGTTCGAACTTGTTCATCAAAATGAATAAATCTTTTTTCTGAGTCATTTTTTAAATGGCCGTTCGTTTCGCTGGATAAGACCCTTATTCTGAAACTCTCATTTGGACCTTGAACCGTTTGGTTCCCAATGAAGTCCATTATATGGAGAAAATCCTGGAATGTTTTCATCAAAAACTTTCATTTCTTTTCGACTGAAGGAAGAATGACATGGACATCTTGAATGACATGGGGGTGAGTAAATTATCAGCAAAAGTTTTTTTTAAAAAGTGAACTACTCCTTTAAGAACATGGGATGTGTCCATTTATTTCAGAGATAAAGAGCAATTTTGTACCCTATTCATGGAAACTGCTGAATGCACATGAGTTTTTCAGGGCATTTTCCCCTTACTGATCAATTATTGCTTACATTCCATATTCCTGTCAGAAATATGTTCTAAAGGGATTACATTCCGCTTCGCTTCTGGGAACAGGAATATGTTTTTTGGGGTTACATGTAGCATCCTGTACAGAGACAACTTAATACAGCAGCTACTTTTGTATCGCATTAGTGCCTATTTAAGACCAGTGTTCGATCGCTAGTGCTGAACGCTCTCATGTTGCGCTCAATGTGCTACAGTAGTTTGTGTTGGTGCATTCCAATGAAAGGCATGGCCTGAAATGTGTCCAATATACTTTTAGGGAAAATATCTTCTGTTGCCATGCGGCTATAGGCTTACAAGGTGATTAAGAACATTTTCTGTAAATTGTATTACTGAATCAGTTTTGAATCACTTAATGTGTGTTTTAGTGATGAATGTGCATATATTTCTCTCTCTTTCAGTGCTGTGTCAATCTAGCGCATATCATGGGGCATATCGCAGTGCGCTGTAGTATTTGAAAAGAACATTGTATGTTACAATTATTGTAATAATTGGCTGGATTTGTCTGTGCCAAATGTTTAACATTCAGGGATTTAAAAAAAATAGGTATTGCTGTAAAACTGACAATATCCGATGGTCATGTGATTTGTTTGTTCCTGGTTTACTAAGGTTTTGCAAACTGAACTTTTCGCACCTGATATGCCATTGTAAATGTTTGTGTATGTGTGTGACTGAGTGACAGGCTTTAGAAGTTTTCAATCACTGTATGGAGACGACGCTCATGCCGGTTTCTTTTACAATCAGCTGCTGCTGGAAACGTTTTGTGACCGGCAAAAGTGTTTGTAACTTGCACATTATCATAGCTTCCACTGGCCAACTGTAAATATCAAATAAATTACTTTTAAAGGGTATGTTTGTGTCAATGAAATAATTGAAATCCACCATATCTGATTCAAATAAACTGCAATCTGGAAATAACCTGACAGAAGGTCTTCCTGTCAAAATTTATATATATATATATATATTAGGAAGATACAATATAATCACTACCTGAGAAGCCATTTTGTTGTCATGTGGTAAAAAACAGATCAGGAAATGATATCATAGAGGGGCGCCTGTCGCCTGATATTTTTTAATTATGTAATTTGTTGTAAGGAAATGTTACTTTGTGGATATAACACTTTTATTAAGTTAAAAATAAGTTTAAAACCAACCATCATAAACACTCAGCTTTATTTGTCACTGACCCAAACAACTCAACCTAAGATAACGGAAAACTAAAAGCTTTCAAACGAATCACAATAAATGCATGATCAAACTCTGGTGTGGATATTATCTGCATAAAGGCCTGAATTACAAATGAATGAGGAAGTCTCAGTGCCAAACAAATGCCTCTCCAGGGCAGGTTCACCAACATGCCAGAGATGTGCACGGTTACTTGCAGGTTGAAACGGCAACTTCTTGTTCTCCGTTGACACTTTCCTTGCGGTCTACTGCCATCCAGCGGCAACCCAAGGTGTTTCTTGTACACATCCATTTATGTGCCATTCGTGTATTGTAAGCTTGTTCTCATTGGGATTGTAGATATTACTCCAAATATGCATGGCAAAAAGCTGAATATCTGCAGCGCCCACTACTAGAAACAATGACTGAAATCCTGGTCTCCATCTCAGCCACGATTCCTAGCAATGTGCACTGCAGGTCAAACACTCCAAGTAAACCGGTGTTATGCAACATCTGAAATAAATAAATAAAAAAATTGCTCATTTTTTACATTCATGCATTTCATCCACGTGACCAATATACCTATGGTTGTTTCAACCCATGTTTCGTCCAAATATGGACAAACCTTTATTATTATTAATTTTATTATTACTTTTTAATAATTTAACCAACCACTGGGTTTTAAAAAAAATATATAATTCGTTGGGTTCAAAAATTAAATAAATTGTAAACCAACCGTTGGTTAATTGATAATGTGATCCTGTGCAATACAATAGCTTAGCAAGTTAGCAGAAAGTTATCTTTGAGCATCAATGGTAGATTCAAGGGAGAGCGTTTTTTCAAATGTGACGACGACAATTCATCTACAGTAAAACATATTTTAAATATGTTCCCAATTTGTGAGTAATAATCATATTCCGTATTTTTATGACCTCATTAACTAGGTTATCTGGAACATTTTTACTTTTAAAAGTGATATGACAAATTCAGTGAAATACAACAAGCTAACATCAAATTAAAATTATTGATAAATATTATGCTATAACTAATGTACACGCATTTACAGGCCTGGAACATCTATTTTTAATATTAAAGGCATTTATTATCAAATTTGTCATTTGAACGTACGATAAATTCTAATCGCGAGGTAAAAGTTGCCTCCCTTACAGTTTGTTGTATTTTTTGGAAGTTTAGCTTTTTCTTATCTTATCTGATTTAGCAGTGAAAAAAACTGACACTCAGACCCTGTAACTTGTATTTCCGTCCTTGTGATTAGGTGTCTAGAGTATAGACCATATTAACGTGAGAGCCACAGAAATCCATGTATTTTTCCATAAAAAAGAAACGCAATAAGATTGAAAACAAACCTATGGAACAAACCCAAACCGTTTTATTTGAACTTGGCGCGCCATTTTAAAACGCACCGTGAGACGAGACTCTACCCAACCGCCAGTCTGACACAAGCTCGTATGTGTTTAAAAACAAAAAAAAAATGCACCATGCGTGAACACCTAGGCTCTGTGTATTAAACTAAGTTTTTTTTAATCGTATCTAATATCACGTTCAACTATGTCACTTAAACTGGCTGTCAGTTACGCAAACCGTCCCCCTCCGAATGACAGTTGCTTAACTTAATGTTACCTGAGTGAAACGCAGCAGCGGCGGTCCAAACGCTGGAACATCGACATTTACACACCCAGTACTCAGCAGTGACAACCTCCAGACAGTTTTAAAGCGTTCACCTCAACACTTTCTCCTCGGTGAGTGAAATGTGGAAGCTTTTAGGTGTGTCTGCTCGCAGGTGTGCATGTAGCTCTATTGGCTTTCCTTTAATTCTCGTCATTTACTCTTCTCAGGCCGATAAGCCTGCGGCACATCTTCAGGAAAAACCGGTACAGGTGGTCACATGAGGGTGTGTCGAGTTCGTGCTTATTAGACTCAAACAGGTTGGATATGCGTGTAAAAACTTATTCCGGTGAGGGAAAAAAACAAAAACATTTCAGACTAACGTTAGGCTACTTGAAAATAAGTCTACATGCTGTTTATATTTTTTCTTTTTGCAGACGGAAGGAAACTCGAGTAGCTACTGAAACTCGAATCTTCAAAGACTATCGAACTCAAGTCCTACTTAACGTTAGCTTCACCCAAAAATTGATATACATTTCCCCCGCGAAACTTTGTGTTTGCTTGCAAAACGTTTCGTATTCTTCCACAAAGTTTCTTTGGGGAACGGAACAATTTTTCATTTATTTTTCTTCCCACTTTTTCCCCATCACCATGTGCTCCAAACCCCTCACTTTATGAATGTTTTGGGTGATTAGACTTTCAGTGGAAGGTCGGAAATCTCTCAGATTTCATTAAAAATATCTTCATTTGTTTCTGAAGATGAAAGAAAGTCCTTCACATGAGGATGAGGCCTACTTTATGACAGAATTTTCATTATCCAGAAAAGTGTCAAATATGTGGCGCGTTAGAGTCGACAAGTAGGCCTAGCCTATGTGATGAAGTGCAAGTATACTGAGAAGTTGAACGGCTCCCTTTAAAAATAAAAGCCCTCAAATATGCTCCACATTGAAAAGTGTTGAGTGTATGATATAAAAAGAGAGAAAGCCACAGACATTCCCATAGTACTGTGTCGTTGGGCCTCAGGCTGTCTTTCCTGGAATGACATCTGACAGGTTTGAGAGCGGCAGTCCTAGGGCGCACACTGGGAGTTTTGACATTTATGTACCTATAACCGATGTTTGGGCATATAGCCGGTTACATGAATATCTTAAGTAACTTTCAAAAATAAGTCACTAAGGAACAGTATTATGATAAATGCTTGATAGTTTGGTCTAATCTAATGATCTGATGTACAATCTAGATTATTTTAGAAAAAAAAAATAACTTGAATGCTAACTTGTCCATTGTCCACAGACTTGTGGAGATGTGTGCTATTACTGTTTAACTGAATGAAATCATATAATATTACAGCAATACATGACTCCTGTGATGAATAAAAACAGTAAGGTTCAACAGGGGTAAAAGGCGCCATTGATTTTATTCCCTTTTCAACCACAAGATGTGCCCTATTTTCTGACGTACAACCCAGAAGCGCTGAGCTATTACAGTACGTCAACAGCTTAGAAGAATGACATGGAAGAGATGAGATGGTGGAGTAAAGTCATTATTTTTGTATGTTTTTTGCACACAAAAAGTATTCTCGTCGCTTGATAAACTTGAGGTTGAGCCACTGTAGTCACTTGGACTATTTTAACAAGTTTTAATGCTAGGAAGTGGTTATCTATTTTAAACAATGTGAATGTCTCAGTTGAGCATTATTTAGACTATTTGTAATCAGTAAATTGCACTGTGGATTCTTTGGTAAATCAGTCACAATTGTGGCGCAGGCTTTGCAAACAGACTTTTACCATATGGACTCGACAGTATCGCCTTAACATGTAGCCTAAGTAAATGTGTTAATTTTAATGCCTGATTTCTGATATATTATGATTCATGTACAGTCAAATGTTCTTTGTCTATGTGTCACAAAATCAAACCAGTGACTAAGCGGTCAACTTCACATCGTTTTTCTTAGTAGGATGTAAATAATCTGTTACTTAAACTGTGATTAGAAAGCTAGCTATCAAAGAACGCTGGAGCTGTCAATCAAACAGCTCTAGTTTATCAGCGACTCTCGCCAAAACTCCAGTTGTAACAAAGTTCCTTTTATCTAAATGGTTATAATCAACGAATCGCTTGGTAAGGGTTAATGCCAGACGAGGTGTCCATTGTCAGGTATTACGGACCTGGACGACGACGGCGAGGCGCGTCGGACGGTTGCTTCTGCAGAAGTCCATTAATACCTAGACAAATGACACCTCGAAGGGCATTAACCCGCTTATACCATGGTCACTCGCCAAATAACACATTTTTAAAACATTAGTTTATATTTCAATTAGTTTTACAATCGAAATCTAAAGTTTTTACAAACAATAACTTTGGTTACACTTGGCGGTTTATTTAGCAACCGGAGATAATTAGTCCGCTCAACTTGTTGCCTCAGCAGAAGTCCAATAATACCTACACAAATGACACCTTGAAGGTTACTTTTATCGAGCCAGAAAGTTTATGTATTTTACGTCAAATTCTCCAAAAAAGTTAAACTATGTATAACAGCTAACTAGATACAATGAATTGTAAACGGATACTTTGACTGCCAGTTGCTATGGTTTTTTACAGCTGATCTAGCCAGCGAATTTATTTATTAATTTCGAACGGTAAACAGTCAGTTTCACCAGAACTCATTAAGGTGTCCTATCACTTTTTAATGGACACCCTGAGGCCAATCGGAATCGAGTATTCACCCAGACCATGGTATAAGATGATAGCATTCGTTAAAGCTACACTGTGTGATTTTTACCCCCATCTAGCGGTGAAAAGGTATATGATCATCCAGTGAATATTTCTGTTCCTCTCAATTCTGATTTCGTTTTTTAACTCCTACGGTGGCCAATGTAGTCCAAGATTAACATGGCTTCCAGTTCGACCTCGTCCATGAGTGTTAACCGAAACATAAACGCGAAAGGCGAAGCTTGAATTAACGGGTATGTCCCTCTTTGGCTAATGTACTTTCAAGATGGAGGGGCAACATGGCGACCGACATAAGAACCCCTTACCCATATGTATTTTCAATGGCATATTATACACTCACGAGAATACTTTATACTTGAACGAAGTAAATATACGTTAATGAGCACATACTGTATATTTTTGAAAGAACAAAGTGTTTTTAGCTAAGAATAAACTAAAAGAGTTACACAGTGTAGCTTTAATGATCGAGTTCCAATGACAAGATCACTGCATTCATGCACTCAACATGTCTATGATGTTCATGCCATGATCTAAATACAATGCCATAGATCTAAATATGATGCTATGATCAACACTTTTTATGATTATATTTAACCTTGAGAACTGTAATAAGTTTAAACATGCTTAAAGTTTTCGAGAGAGTTAAACATACTAGCTATTTCATATGCAAAGATGTTAGTCAATAACAGCAGTGGGCGTTTACACTGAAGTCTTACATCAGACACGCCCCTTCAAACAGAGCATTCAGATCAGAGGGCTAAATCAGGGTTGGAAAAATGCTGTTTATTTCTAAATTATGACATTATAAGTGCACCCCCAGGAAACATCATAAAGCAATGCAGTTCATGACCCCACTTATTTATAATGAAACTATCATATTTCAAAATATTATATTACATCATATAATAAAATATTATATTTTTTTACTACTGTGAAGCTAGTATTTTGTATCAATAATTTGTGCGGTCCCACATTGTCACCTCATACGTTTAGTCTATATCTGAGATTTTTTTTAAAAAACATACCACTTTTATGATTTATTTTCACACAAAATCTGTTAGATAGATGTCCAATACAAATATTTTTTTTTCTTTTTGCAATCAAACTATGGGAAGAGTGAAAAGCGCATTATTCTGAGGGTGTGCCTTTAGCCCTGTTGTACCCATGGTTGTACCCTGTGTGTTTGTTCAGTCATCAGCTTGAGGCCTGGAATACATTTTTGTGCAAGAGCCAAGCATACGTTGCGCTGGTGTCGCTGGGACTTTTTCTTTCTTTCTGTTTTAATATTTACTTTAAAGCGTCACATAAACAAGTTCTGTCTTTGAACATAAACATGAAAAAATTGCAAAGTATATTATTAAATGGGAATTTATTTTAAGGAGTTTTACAATAATACAATTTTTACAATAATAAAAAAGTTGTTTATAAGGTATTGTAAAACGTTTCCAAGGTTATTTTAAAGTGACCTTCTCATAACAAAAAGAAATAAAAAAGTGAATCTAAAAAAACAACCGCTATAAGTTGTTGACATTAATGACAGAAGCACTTATAAATTCATGAGAATGCATGTAAATTAATCATGAAACTACTTAAGAAATCAAATAAAACAGTAATCACTTTTTTCAACAGTCACTGTTACTATTTTTGACTTGCCTTCCCGACATATTAGTGGCCATCCTCCCACTCAAGCACTTACAATCACAACCCGAAAAAGAGGAAACAACACACGATTATTAGTGGAAACTATAAATATGGACGGATCAGTGAATAATCAGGTGTGTCTTTGAAACAAATCATAAGATTATCATCAAGCATTTATCATCAGATGGAATGTGCTGATTTATACGATTTCCACCTCATTTCAAATAAAACATTATTCATCTCTGTAGTAAGGTTAAAAGTTCAGAGGAGACGGCGGGTATGAAACTTTAATCTCATAAAATAAATAAACACAAAACGAACGTAAAGCGGCCCCTCATGGTTGACTGCCACTTAAAAATACAACATATATGTCCCAACCCAAGCCTGGTCTTCTCTCATCCTGCTTGCCACAATCTCCTTCCTCCTCGATGGTAATACATCAACATGAAACTGCAACTGTTTATTTTAAAGGATGCTTTTATCCAGAATGACTTATATAGGCGATTAAACCAACAACCTCCAGTTTTCCGACCCAAAACTTCAACCACTTCACCTATGACTAGATGATTCAAGTTATTTTCCAGAATAAAGCTGCTACTCACAAACAACTCTGACCCAATATCCTGTCCAAGAATGTCATGACAATTGATTCACACCCACTCTCCCCATAATAAATAGCAGTTCAGATTACTCAGTTTGCAATGAGATTCAATAACAGGACAGTGGACACTACTTCAAAGAAATCTACTTGTACAGTCGTCCTTCAGTTCATCAATGGCTCTTCAGCTCTTTGGTTATATTATGTCCGTTACTGGACTGTGTGGCCTAATTTTGGGCACATTTACAAATGAATGGAAAATCATTGGACACGACAATGACAAAACTGTGTTTGTGGATGAATACGAAGGACTGTGGATGAATTGCAAAAAATCCTCTTCGTCTGTCGTGCAATGCACAAGTTTCAATTCTCTTCTTCATCAAGCTTGTGAGTATCTGTCCTATGATTTATGGATCCTTCTGCTTTTTGACTTCTTAAACAGATGTGTTTTGATTGTTGCTGTACGTTGCAGTTGAAATTCAGGTGGGCCGAGTAATGATGATAATCAGCGTGGTCATTTCAAGCCTCGGCGTGCTGGTAACCGTGTACGGCCTCAGGTGCACGAGATGTCAAGACGATAACACGCAGTCGAAGGACCGAATTGCCTTCGCTGGAGGAATCCTCTCTGTGTGCAGTGGTGAGTTCAACACAGATTTGAAAGATCTTAAAGAAACTAGAGTGAAATCTAATTTTCCTTTAAAGGGATACTCCACTTTTTTTGGAAATAGGCTCATTTTACAACTCCCCCAGATTTAAACAGTTGCGTTTTACCGTTTTTGAATCCATTCAGCCTATGTTCTGATAATTAGAAGAATATCCGTAACCAGAGAGTTTCTGGTCTCATTGACCTCCTTCTAATTATCAGAAAATCGGCTGAATACATTAGAAAACGGTAAAACTCAACCGCCGCCGGCGAGAGCGTCAAAGTGGCCGGAAGTCATTTATTTTCAATGAGAGCCAGCGGCGAGCTCCGGCGAGGGTTGAAATCAGTTCAACTTTATGGTAATAAGCAATGACGCGGTTCGGCGGCAACCAATCGGAATGTAGAAGTGCTCCGTTTGAGAGAATTCCAGAGAACGCAGTCCTGTAAACTTTGGTTCCGGCCACATTAGTTCCCAAGCAAAATAGAGGAGGTTGATCATTTGAATTTGATAAAGAGGGCGTGCAACAATATTTATAGGCAAGATTTTCGTACTAGAACACTTTTTCAGCGGGAACGCAAATTATAATAGCACTTAACCATAAACACAAAAGCCACACCACGCACATATGGCTTTTAATTTGTTTATTTCATTAGCAAACTTGTCACTATAATTTTAAAGTTATTTACATTGATCAATTTTCTGCAAAAATAACGACCGACATGCTTGTTTGCTTTGCGGCTCATTTAAATACAGTTTTAAAAAAGATCACGCATTCGATCTACGTCAGAGCATCAGAGCCGCTCTCGCCGCGGTAACTCTGGGGGAGTGGTAAAATGAGCCTCTTTCCAAAAAAGTGGAGTATCCCTTTAAATTGGAACTAGTCAGTAACTTGTATTTCTTGGTTGTTTCTTAAAACTTTTTAGAAACTGTTCACATACTTTTGTTTTTCAGGATTATGTTAAGAATAGAAAGTTCAAAAGAACAGCTTTTATTTAAAATAGAAAAGTCATTTAAATGCATCCTTGCTGAAAAACAAAATTATATATTTTACATAATACACTACCTTTTAAAGGTTTGGGGGTTAGTATGATTTTTATTTTTTTTAATTAATACTTTTATTCAGCAAGCATGCTGTAAATTGATCAAAAGTGTCTGTAAAGACATTTATAAAGTTACAAAGGATACTTTATTTCAAATATGTTCTATTGTTCAAAAAATCCTGAAAAAAGTGTAATTATTTCCACAAAAACATTAAACAGTGCAGCTGTTTTCAACATTGATAATAAAAAGAAATGTTTCTTGCGTACTAAATGAGTTGTGAGGGATCATGTGACTGAAGACTGGAGTAATGATGCTGAAAGATTTGCATCACAGGAATAAATGACATTTTAACATATATTAAAATAGAAAACCCTTATTTTAAATTGCTAATTTGTTTTACTGTATCTATATTTTACAGTAAAAAGCCTAAATGTATATATCTCTGTTGGATAACATAAGAAACGTTGTACAATTGCCTCTGATGTCCCTAACAGTTCAACTTAAGCCTTATGAATATGTGCATTCTTTGTTATTATCTTTCTAGGTCTGTGTGCTTTGGGCATAACCAGCTGGTTTATTTATGGAATTGTTGCTGATTTCTTTCAGAAGGACGAGGGGGATAGGTAGGAGTTGTTTTGTTTTGTATTGTTCCGAGTATTCAACTGAGCTTCATGTTCTCATGTCTTTTTTTGAGTCTAAAGTATTGATTATCAAAACTAACCATCTGTGCTGGGTCTTTGTAGGTATGTGATCGGCTGGTCTCTGATTGGTGCATTTGTTGCATCTTTGCTTTGTTTTGTCGGAGGCATGATCGTAAGCGCCTGCAGTGTAACGCACCTGCGATCCAACAAAATTCTCAGCAAGCATCCAGTCTCCAAGATTCCTGGAAAAGATTATGTGTAATAATCCCGAGAACCATCTGAATAGCTGAACTGTTGTATACAGTATGCGCACATAATATTAACCATTTTGTTAATAGATATGTATAAATAGATTGCATTTAGTTTTTGGTTTATGTCATAATAAAAGGTTTTTTACAGCTTTGATGTATTTTTAGATGTTTGGGATGGGTCTCCACATTCAACTTTGACCTCTGAGTCACTTAGCTTTTAAACAAGAACACTGTGATTGCTTAACTAACAGTTCAGTGCTGACCGCAGAGGAAGTGATGTCATATCCCAGTAACATTAACTTTTACTATTTTAAGAAATGAGGATGATTCTAGGCTTATATATCTTGTAATATACCAATGCGTCATTTAGAAAGCTTTGTTTGTTCGTTTTTTATAGTTAAATATTTTTCAACATTCAATAATTATTCAACATTCAGTAATTAATAATTACATATATACATATAATAATTACAACATTCAGTAATTATTTTATAATTACAAAATAAAGGTTTGCTTTCACCACATGCACTTGTTTTTTGTTTTTTTTTTTATCCCTCCATATAACTGTGGAATGCTAAGTGTTTTTGGCACTTTTACATTAGCTACAACATCAAATTCCAGAACAATTCACATTTGTGCTAATTACGAAACGGATACAGTAAAAAGGAAGTTTCAATTTTATTATAAGTCTCTCTGAAACTGGTTCTAATTGTGGGATTAAGGAGTCAAAATTTTTCATTCGAATTAGAATTAGCAACTTACCAGGGCTGCGTTTAAGTCCAAATTGTATACCCTTCCCTCGCTAACTTCCCTCCATCTCATTCACTTAAAATGATAACAATATAATAAACTATAACAGTCAGCTCAAGGTATTGTTTCCCAAAATCCCAATACTGTATACAGACCTATAGTACGGTGCGTAAAACAAGTTCACAAGTCAAAGCAAGTAAATTGATTTATCCAGTGCCTTTCACTGACTAGGTCACAAAGTGCTTTACAAGACTGAAATAGATAAGAAATAAAATAAAACAGGTAGAATGATCAATATATAAAAGGACAAAGATTACCCAAAAGCTAACCTGAACAATTGAGTCTTCACTTGTCCCGTAAAACTGTCAACATTCTCAGTAAACCTAATTTGGCAAGGCATTCCATAGTCTGGGTGCCATAGCGGTGAATGCTCTATCCCCACGTCTTTAAACAAGTGTGTGGCGTAGATAACAAGTAAAAAATAGGAGTAAATAAAAGGCTATGGAGACATGTTTAGGTGTGATATGAACATGGGGCGGTTTTCATTCATTTGGAGGGTGCGATGTCAACAATAATATTGGATATTTTCAGGAGAGCTGCAGTATGATTTCAGTCCCCTAGAGGGACTTTCTATACTCATCCGGGTGTTTTCACATAAGTATTCGATTTCGATTATTCGATAAAGCTTTTCATCGCTGGTGGGAGCGAGAGAATCAAAGCTCATTAAAATGAGAAGTCCATCTTCCTTAGTTTGTTTCTGTTTGACAGATAAAACTACCATGGTAAAGCCAAAGGGGGCTAGTGTGGCATTAGTTGTAGAATAATCAAAGGAAGATATTTTGAAGAAGATTGGAACCAAACGGTTGTTTGGCACCATTGACTTCCATTGTAGAAAACAAAACACTATGGAGGTCAATGGTGCCAAAGTTCAAATCGTTCTTCAAAATATCTTCCTTTGTGTTCAGCAGAAGAAAGAAACTCATAAGCCGCGTTTCTACCGCAACTACCAGGAACTATTTGTCCCAGGAACTTTTTTCATAGGAACTTTTTTTTGCCCCAGACCGCTTGCTTACTGCGTTTACACCGCGGGAAGATTATGTAGTGACATTGAACTGTGTGCGACTGCTCTTTCTAGCCTGCACGTTTGTTTTGAGTTTTGTATGGAGGAGATTCAAGCTTTGCTGCTTTTGTGTGCGATTGGTTTACTAACGAGGTAATTAACAAAACGGCAGAAAAGAGACAAGCACCCAAAGCGTATTCAGAAACCTCGTAATGCTAGATATAAAAGTAGACGTTTGTTATCAGCGGACATTGACCGTGAGATAGATGGGACGAACGCGTGCCATCGGGCAGAAAGAATAGCGTGATGAGAACCAATCAGCATTGTTCCGCGCACAAGTCCCACCCCGAAAGTTCCTGAACTCTGAAAAAGTACCAATCTCGCCAGCAGGGACTTTCTGGGGTGGAAATTTTTACCCGGAACTTCATTTAGACCCTGGTTCCTGTTGTGTAAACACACCGAGTACCACCCCAAAGTTCCTAGTTTCTGGGGAAAGTTCCTGCGGTGGAAACGCGGCTTTTGTATGCTATTGGTTTACAACTTTAATTGGTAATTTAGTTTAGGTAATTAACAAAACGGAAGAAAAGAGACGAGCACCCAAAGCGTATTCAGAAAGCTTGTAATGCTAGAAATAAAAGTAGACGTTTGTTATCAGCGGACATTGGCCGTGAGATGGATGGGACGAACGCGCGCCATCGGGCAGAAAGTGGTAAGAACCAATCAGCATGTTCAGCGCACAAGTCCCACCCTGATTTTTTACACAGAACTTCATTTAGACCCTGGTTCCTGCGGTGTAAACACACTGAGTACCACCCCAAAGTTCTTAGTTCCTGGGGAAAGTTCCTGCAGTGGAAACGGTGAGACGAGAGTTCAAGAGATTTCCACGACGCGTATGCACGAGAAATTTCAAATTTAGCTCTACCAGCTCTCAAATTTAATAAAAAATTTCTTCAGTTGTGTTCCGCAGATGAACGAAAGTCTTACAGGGTTGGTACAGCATGGGGGTGAGTAATTAATGACTTAATTTTCATTTTTGGGTTAACTATCCCTTTAAATGGAGTTTGTTATGGGCTGACGTATCTTGAAAATTATATTTTCAGGAGAGCTGCAGTATGATTTATGTCCTCTAGAGGGAGACGTTGAAACGGTGAGGATCTTCTCTTAGGGCTTTGTGAGGATCTCACTCGATGGAAAGTTCTGTCTGTGAATCATCAGTTTATTGTCTGCAATAGAGACACGAGTCTTTAATATTCAAAACACCGTTTCTGCTCTAAAATATAGACGCTCTAATATGTCGCTGTTCGATGGATTAAAATAGCAAGTCAGCTGGGGGTCGTCAACAATTGTGATTTCCGTCATGTGTGGGGTGAAGGGGAGGGAGGAGTCAGCTCAGAGTGGATGGGAGGGACGGGGGTCATTGCTGAAATGTCTCTAGTAATTGGTCATTCATTATGAGTGACAACGAAACTGCCTTGAAGCTTAGAACGGTAGTTCAGCTGTAACTTTCATTAGCCTGTTCCTTGTCCCACACAGGCTTATTGGGATTGTTTATCCATCATTCGGAGCGCATTATTTTTGCGCACCATATTACGGAAAAGATGGACGTGAACCCCAAAATCTACGGCTTTTTGACTTGTATACTCCAGACACTTTTGCTGTCATCGGCCACCCTGGAACCGTTTGACCTGCTTTATGATAACGGATTGGAGGCTTTTCGTAAAGGGGACTATGGCAATGTGGTGCGGTACATGGAGAGCGCGCTGAGCAGTTTCTCTGAAGTGCGCCAGACCAAAATCAGATGCAGACTGAAATGCAGAGACCAGCATCGCTTTGACAGCCTTCTGACTGACAAGTTTTTCGAAGCGATTCTTCATAGGGCGCACTGTCTAAACGAATGCTTTGAGGAAAGACTTGGAGCTCAGTCCATGCATAAAGTTAGTGAGGATGTCTTGCAGGATTTCAGTAGAAGAATTCCCTATAACTACCTGCAGCTTGCGTACAGAAAGGTGGGTACAAGTTTTACAGATGCGACACACCACGGCTTGTTTAACAGTGATGTGCGTAGGCTACATCAGGAACGTTTGAATGAAACGCTTCTGAGCATCATTCGAACGCTCGAGGGGAACATTGTTGGGCATTTAAAGTCGGACGAACTTTCGAATGTTAAATTAAGAATTTCCTTCAATTAAATTTGAGCTGAGCATATTTAAGCGTCATCAGTGTTTGAAGTTTCGAATCAAACTTTTTGAGCTACTGATCTATTCTAACCAGTTGTCTGTAAACAGATCACACGTTTTTAATACACCGCCTTAGTTTTCTATTGGTGAAGTTTTAAATGCACACGTATTTTGTACTAATACAAAAGTTTAATTTCTAGTACGACATGTTTGTTACGCAATCCTGAAAGCCACCTACAGGGATGAGATGGGAAGTGGGAACACGCTAGAAAACTTGTCTATAAGTTTGTTCTGGAAGCTTCTTAAACTAACGGAGGTGCTATTTTACAGATATTTTGCTGTAAATGTGGTATTTATATTTCCAAAATTTCTTCCATGTGGTATTTCCTAAAAAAAAATTTGATATGGCATTTGTGTTTTTTTGTTTGTTTGTTTTTTTCTGAAAAACTGTCAACGTGACCATACTGCAAGTCCAGAGCTTTGATACTTTCATTTATTAAAGGGTTAGTTTACCCAAAAAATGAATTATAAATTATCCCATAATGTGCTCGCCCTCAAATCGATACAGGTGTACTATATGAGTTTCTTCTTTAAGCCAAACACAATTGGAGTTATATTTAAAAAAAAAAAAACAAACATATTGAACAAGCTTAAAGGAACACTTTTTGTGACTTTAGCTTATTCACCATATCCCCCTGAGTTAGATAGTCCATTCATACCTTTTTCATCTCTGTTCGTGCTTTAACTCTGTCTGACACACCCACTGCTAGCCTAGCTTAGCACAAAGACTGGATATAAATGGCTACAGCTAGCATACTGATCCCAAATAAGTGACAACATAAATAAAACATTTTCCTATTTACATGTTGTGATTTGTATAGTCACAGAGTGTAGAAATAACAAGTCATATGAGACACAGCTATCTTTTAACCGTATAAATATTGGGAACTATATTCTCAGAAGGCGAAGCTCTGCCACTTGGGCGAAGTGATTATCGCAGCACCTGAGACGCGCCGTGGTGAGGAGCAGAGAGTTCATTCAGAGTTGGAGCAAAAGAGAATATACTTCGCCTTCTGAGAATATAGTTCCCAATATTTATCCGGTTAAAAGATGGCTGTCTCATATGACCATGTTTTTCATACACTCTGTGACTATACAAACCACAACATGTAAATAGGAAAATGTTTGCGTTATTTTGTCTCTTATTGGGATTAGTATGCTAGCTGTATCCATTTACATCCAGTCTTTGTGCTAAGCTAGGCTAGCAGTGGGTGCGTCAGAGTTACAGCACGCACGGAGATGTAAAAGGTATGCATGGACTTTTCTAACTCTGGGGGATATGGTGAATATGGCTTTAGGGTGAGTAAATTATGGGATCATTTTCATTTTGGGGTGAACTAACCCTTTAAATATAAAGAAAAGGTTCACAATAAAGAAAGGAATACAGAAGACCCCAGACAAACCCTCTGTATTTTGTATGTTGTAACCCTTAAAATGTCCCCCTTAAAATCCCCCTTAAAATTGAGACATTTAGAACAGCCCTTATGGCAGTCCAGACAGATGGGAACAGAGCGTGACAATCTGAAAGCAGCGGACTATTCTAGCCAAACCAGACACGTGCCTTTGCCCAGGGAGAGAAAGTGATAAAAAAAAGAAAAGCGCTAGTCTAGAACTCAGTAGATGAAGTCGACACAGTTCAACGATGACCAGGGCGAGAGATCAGACACATTCCTGTCAGCACTACAGGTCGTTGAATGTCATAAAGACATGTCTATGTGTGTATATATGCTGTGATGTTTGTGAAACATTCCACCGCTCTTTGAAATTTTAACCACACAGCCCTCTTTTCCATCATAATCCTGGCATAAAGAGGCATAAAGAGCTTTTCGGCCTGGAAGCAGGGGCCACAGACGCCAACTGTTACTTCATTGACAAGCTTGTGTGTTTGTTTTCCTGGGTCAATCAGTATTTATCTAGGCAAATATTTTTCTTAAAGTGTGTTTGCCGTTCTGAAAGGAGAGGCACCAGCTTGTTTTGGGTTATGAATGGAGGAGTTTTGTGCCAGCAGTGACCCTTGTTGCTCTGTCATTGGTTAGGTAGTTTTGAATCAACAAGTCCCATCAGAAAAGGATCAAAGCTCAGCGAGAATGTCATGTGTAAAGCAAAATAAAAAGATAAATCACAAAATGAAAACAGATCACACGCAGTCTGTAGTTCGACTCAGGCACAAATGACTCTTCTGAGTCAGTCGAATTGTTTAAAATGACTCACTAACTTTTATCAGTACACCAGTTCCCCCTTTATAATTAAAAGGACATTCTATTTTGTTCTTTTTTTGTTTGTCTCCCAAAGTATGTCCTATTTTGATACTCACAAGTTTACTGTCCTATGGTGACCTCAATGTTATTGTCTTTCAATCTTTTCAGAAACTCTCAAAGCCCAACCCATATCTATTGTGGTCCCCCCACTGTTAGGACAGATAACATCATGGAGACGCCTTGTGAATTGCTCTTTGGCAGTATTGTCTTTCTACCATTTTATTTGTAATCAACCCAGCACAATCCAATATAACATAATTGAACCCATTGTATATATGTTCCAATAGATAAGCGATGTGACTACCCAAGCGCTTCATTCTAGCTAAGGAAGTGCTTGTGTTCTAAGCAAACGGTGCACCTGTGTTTTCTGGAAAGAGTGTGTGTGAGTGTGTCAGGTTTCCAGCCACTCAGTAGGGTTCGGTTTGTGCCCATCAACATGCTCAGCCAGACAGCATGGCACTTCCTCTGCCAAACATTTTCTGGATGACCAACCCTTAAGCGGATAACAGCACAGCAGGAATGTGTGGGCATGTTGCCTTATTTCTTTGCACAATAAATGGCCCTGCCTGGGATTACTAAGAAGAAAACATGACCACTGAATTACGTGTGCTTCCAAGAGACTGCAAATTCAACAAAAGCGAGCTGCCTTATCGAGCCAGATGTGTATCATTCTCATGGGGGGTTGTATTTTCCAGATCACTGGTCCAAAGTTTTCCGCTTGATGGAGAGTGGAGATGAACAACAGATCGCAGATATGCAAGTCCGTTCTCGTTAAATCATGATTTACGTCGCATATTTGACTTTTTTTTAGTCCCTTATCGGTGGATCTTCTTTGATTTAGTCGCACATAAAACTGTGTCGGATATAATGCGTCTCCATAAAGATAGGAAGCCCGTGTTGCTCTGGTTTTAGGAGTCCTGCGGGGTCACAGGAAAGACCTAGAGCTGTTGGGCAAAGCCGATGAATGAAAGGACTCTTGGGGGAATTTTGGCAAAGCCTGAGAGTGTGTGGAAAGTGGGATGCGGCGGCCAAAGCAACATCTGTTTGCTCTGACAAATGGCTGTCTGCCGTCTGGAACAGTGTTCCTGTCACTCTTGGCTTCTCTTGCACTTATTTTGAATGAAATTATGGTTTCCATCTATATGAGTCTATGAAGAACAGTGTTTAACATTATAAATATTTAGCTAGTATGTTTTAGACTTTCACAAAACTTGAAAAAAAATCATAGTTTAAGAAGGGATTTCATTATTGGTCAAAGTAAATGTATTCATTGGAGTAAACATAACGTTTGTAGCTTGATCTCTGCCCGCATAACAATAGCTCTGCGTGTGTTGCACGTGTGTCATTGAAGAGGAAATTGTTTCTATTTTGGACAGCTGAGACATTGGGAGTCCCCTCTAAAATTTTGTCTAGTTTATATACCATAAAGTGTATAATGTCTGGCAGATGGAGCAAATTAAAAGAATAGTTCACCCAAACGTTGTTCACGCTGCTCTTTTCCATAAAACATATTTAGACCAGGGGCTTGTGAAAAAGAAGTGCGCTTAATTCTTTTGAATGTGCACTTGTGTACTTAAGATTCTTACAGATAATATAATATTGATGGAATAAAGGCCTCTTAAGTATACTTATACTGTTTCTTATCAACCCGGTCTCATCCGAAGACGTCATATAACTGACGTTTTGGGACGTCTTTTGACCATACGTCAATATTCGCCTTTTTAGGGCCCCCTTAAACGTCGGTAGATGAGGTTATGGGATCCTAACTCTACCCCAGACCTAAACTTAACCCTAAACCTAACCCGTCACCTAACTGACGTTAAAGGTAAAGCGTCAGTTGTATGACGGCCCGGGATCGCCATCTACCGACGTTTAAGGGGGCCCTAAAAAGGCGGATATTGACGTATGGTCAAAAAACGTCCCAAGACGTCAGTTATATGACTTTTTGGGATGAGACTGTGTTATTCTTATCTTAACACACCTAAATATAGTTTTAAAAAAGTGCACCTTTTAATTGAAAGTTTTACTTTAAAGAACATTTTAAATCCCAATGTTTGAAGTGCACTTATCTTGATGTTTTGATTGACGTTATAAATTTAAATGCATGCGTCTTACTTGATTTAGAGGACATTTGAAGTTAATGGATTAAAGTATATCATTTTTGTAATAAGTATTATTTTTAAAAGTAAATTCTAAAGTGTGATTCTTTTCACAAGGCTTTAAAACAGACAGAAAAGGTAACATACAACCATCTTAATATAGATAAATGTATTATATAACATGTCTTCTGTAGCCATACATGTCATTGATGTTTTATTTTCTTTATATGCCAAAAATATGCAGAAGTGGAATTGAGATTTGGTGTGCTATTGCTTGGCCTTAGAAGACTTGGAATATAACGCAAATGTTGTGTAAACTTTTTCTTGTACTTTGTCATTTTTGAAGCTTGATTACTGATGTTTCCATTATATGCAAAGGAGCTGCACGAACATGCAGAAACACATCACTTGT